CTTTGGCGGCGAGCACCCCATTAAAGTCATTAAGGCGGATGGGCTTAGATAGCTGTTCTCGAACGGCGCCTAGTAGCTCCACGGCCTTATTGGCCATCTTCGGGGTCATTGACAAATAGATATCTGCTCCGGTATCACAAAGAGCTTTGGTTTTGAGGCTAATTCCTTCCAATTGGAGTTGAATAGGGAATAGGAAGGTTTTTGATCCAGACGATCTGCTCACTTTAGCTAGTCGTGGTATACGGACTGTCGTGGAGACTTCCGACAGTCCTAGCAGTTTTCCGATTCGTTAGACGACGAGGATGACTGCTCCGGGGAGGTAGGAGGATCCTGGTCGAGGTCTAGCATCATCTTGGCCATAGTCTTCCGCTCGGGGCAGTCACGGGCGAAGTGACCTTCCTTACGGCAGATGAAACAAGTATCGTCTTTCCCTCTATCCTTCTTAGCCTCGGGAACTTTGGTTGCAGCTGGCTGGGAAGTTGGCTTCTCAAACCGAGACTCCCCAACATAGGCCCGTTCGCTGTGAGTGGTTGGCGAACGTGTCCGGCGATCCCTCTTCTCTTGTTTGCGCTCTCTGTTCTCCTCCCAAGCGCGCTGGTGGGCTAGAGCAGCATCCGCGACGCTGCCAGCAAAAGCTTCGTAGGAGATTGTCGGGTTCTTTGAGTCTCCCAAGAGTCGGGTGTCAAGCCGGGCGGGAATATGCCCATAGAGTAGGGTCTTGCGCTCAGACTTGGCAATATTAGCCTTATCACCCAAGCTATTAACTAATCCAATGTATGAATGGATAGTCACGTCCTTATTCGCCGGATCATACTTGAGCTTGGCTAGCTCGGCCCTGGCTTTCGTGGCTTGGTTGTCATCATGGTAGACAGTCGACAACGTAGCTACCATCTCGGCGACGTTGCGGAAGGGCATCTCCTGAGAGCTGTACCGACTCTCCAGCAGGTCGTTCGGGGATCCCTCCGTAAGAGAGTTCAGAACCGCCATGCGGCTACGTTCTGTCTTGAAAGTGGCATCGTCTTCTACAAACTTGTCGGCCACCTTGATGATCCACTTATCGAAGGTTCCGTCAACACCCTTGAAAACTCCAGGGTCGACACCGGCCTTGCGAGCCTTCCGGTCGAAGGTTTGGTTGGCGGCGTGCTGGTCCTGACCGTAGGGCTTGAAAGCGGGAAGGGCGGCGAAGCCAATGGGTGTGAAGCTGTCCCCACTGAAAGCGCTCTCAGCGGGGGTGACAGTTCGGGCCCGGCGATTGACGCCGTCGGCGGTGCGGGCGGCTGCCTCCGCCCTGAGTTCTGCCACTTGGGCAGCAGAACTCGGTAATCCTCGGCGCTCGGGGCGCCATCGTCACCCGGTACGCTACGGGTTTCGTTTCCCAGCATGTTGTCTATCGGGGCGTCGACTTCTATACTGTTGACTGGCTCGTTTGGCTCTGTGTCGCGTTGCTGTGGAGCGGGCTTAGCAAGCTCTGTGCTCGAGGGGGTTGCTATGACTTCTTCGTCGGACTCTTGGGTCTTCAAGTTCGCTTCCTCCTGGGTCCGTTCGCTTAGCTCTTTTGGCTGAGAGAGGCGTTCGGATTGGCGCATCGGTGGTCCGTAATCTTTCTTCTTGGGCATCGACGCTGTGGTGTTTGGGGGTTTCTGTGGCCTGGTTTATCGTCGTGCACAGCCGACGTAGTGGGTTGTTTGTGGGGTTTGACGTATTTATTGATCGCTAGCCAGCGATGAGAATTGAGAGTTTAGAATTGTGTCTCGGCCGGCTTGGAATGAGGGCGGAACTCCTCTATTGGGCGCTATAGACGAAGATTCTAAACTAAAGGGAAAAGGGAAAAGAAGCTCAAAAGCCTCCCCTCGCGAGATTCTTCTAGGGCGTCTCAAGGTGGGGCTCTGGCTGGTCGGGTGGATCCACCCAACTGGCGTCTGATTAGTCAGAGCCTCTGGGAGGCCTGGAAGACCAGGCCCTCACAACTACCACCGCACACATCGGCCGCCCAACACGGTACGGAACTATGGCCCGAAGCAAAAGGAGTGGAAGGCCTGGTGTGTTACACAGGGCTTTCCCCCTGGGGGCCAGTACCTTCCTGGCGACTGGGTCGATGAAGGTAAACTCTTGTTCTTCATCAAGGAGGAGGTGGTATCGCGCCCCCCGCGTAAAGGCATGAGGCTCGCCGAAGAGAAGAAGCGTAAGGCTGCAAGCCAGGCCCAGGGCCAGCCGCCCTCTAAGAAAGGCCCTGGCTCTGGCCCTCGCTCCTCTAATCACCTAGTTATTGAGGGCGAGGACGACGAAGAGCAGTCGGACCTTGTACTCATGTATAACACTGTTCGGGGCTACATTTCTGCGGTCAAGGAGCTTTGGTCTCTACAAACCTCGCAAGGACTTCACAATGCACCGCAGCCGAGCCGCGTTGCTTTGAAGGCTTTGGAGATGTCGATCATTCGAGGCGAGCATACTCGCCGGAGGGAGGAATTCACAGACCGGGGGATCTCCACGTTCCGTGATGGCTATGTTGCCTCGCAGATTCCCAACCTCCACCACCAAGTCTGGAGCGAAGGCTTAGGCCGGGGCACAGTTGAACAGGCGTTACGGACCCAGGTCGACTTTTTACTGGGGAATTCGATGCTTTTACCCTTGAGTAACCGTTTGCCGCTCGAGCTTGCAGACCTTTTCTTCATGCCATTACCTAAAGAGGGCACTAATGGCGATGGCTGGTGCTTAGTAGCAGTTATGGACCAAGGCAAAACAAACCAGCACGGGCGGCTTGAGTACGGCGCTGTTCTCCGCCACCGGAACTACCAATCGTGCCTTATAGGCGCTCTTGCGACATACTTCTTCTGGCGTTGGCACATGTCAGGCGAGTCTTTTCCCTGCTTTCACAAAAGCCAAGACTGGTATAATATCAAGCTCCTCAAGCGTGACAATGCCAACCTCGATAAGAAGCTCTCGGACTCAACGGCGAATTCGTGGACAAGGAGGCTATATACTCTCAGCGGTATCCAGGGCTCTAAAGTCTCGCATATGCCACGGTCGTCAGGGGCACGGATTGCTGAGGCGAATAACGTACCTGAGGCGCAGATTCGCCGTGGAGGACGTTGGAATAGCGATCGGATGACTGGCTGTTACCTGACCGAGTTGCCGCGCCAGTTTATGCGAGGTGTAGCGGACTTTGAGCCAGATTACGCCTCCAGCTACTTTGTTCCACGCGAAACGATTAAGCCGCCGCCTTCTCTACGCCGGCAGGTCTGGCCACAGCTCGACCGCTGGCGCCAAGCACATCTTGACCTCCCTGGTGCTAGCGAAGTAGTTGAGCCAAACCTAGCCGCAGGCGGATTCCTTGAGCTTCTTGATAGGCTCCGCGATATTTTCCTCTAAGATTCGGTATTTATCCGGCAAAGCCATCCAAGCCATCCCATCTTTCGTGATAGCCTCTTTGCCACGGCCGAATATGCCACCTTCGCCACCGCAGTTATAGCAGCAACCGATACGCTCTATCACGAAGATCTACACCTAGTTGCTATCCAAAAAGCAATCCCTTCGGTTAACGAGCGTTTACAGGTAATATCGAGCATTATCCAGACCGGGCAGGCCGCCCAAGCAACCTCCTTGGCTCAAGTAACGAGCTCGCTTGACCAGCTTGCCGCCAAACTCGACGACTTTCTTACAGGGTCCTTTAGTCTTCACTTTACACCGGGGAGGGGCCGGATGTTACCCCAAGGCCACGATCCTACAAGCGAATACCGCCATCAACATACACCACCGTCTCCGCTCAACCTAGATATAAGCCAGCCGCAAGCTACCATCCTCGGTAATCTGATAGAACAAGCACCAATGCCAATACCGTCATATAAACTCTCACGCGAAATAGCCACAGTCCTTGATCTGTGGAGAGAGTGGACAGTAGGGCTGGCGGGCCTTCCAGCAGTTGCAGCGCTGGATGCAGCACACGGGAGCCGTTGGCGGTCTCCATCAGAGCGGCAGTACTACTCGATGCGTAAGGTCATCATTGACGAGATCATAGCCATGGCAGGGAGCCCAAATAATACAGATAGAATAGCGGTTGCAATAGAGACCCTAGAGCGGCGGCGAGCCCAGGGCAAGGCATCGTTGGAGAAGCTCATCAAGCAAATAAAAGGGGGCCGGAAAGGCCAGAGTAAATAGATTGAGGGTTAGGGTTTTGAGGGTTTTGAGGGTTAGGGTTTTTAGTTAGTTCATGCAAAATGACTACATTCGCTCAATTATGGCCCGTTTGACCTCAAAAAAATCGGCATCTAGTACTCTTATAACTAATTCTCTATATGCCCCGATTTTAAAGCCATCACAGGCTCTATTGCGTACGTAGTCGCTGTGTAAAGTCGGCGAAGGCCAGTTTTGGTGATGTCACGGGCCGATTACGGATTTGGCGGGGTCAGCGGCGGATCCGCCACCCAAACCCCCCTCTGACATCCACTTGATGTCACGAATACCTGTGGATTCCCTGTGGTTATGCACAAAGGTGGGGCATGCACTTTTGGCGCGAGCCAATCAGGAGCGTTCCAGGATTCCGAGCTCTGGAGCTCGGGGACGCGGGACAGGTCCGGTCGGGCGGTGACCCGGACGCGGGACCACGGGACAACGGAACCACTGTTATTGGTTACGTAGATAGATATATACAACGATCGTGTCCACGGTCTTGGATAGTTCTTGCTTGGTTCTTCAAGCAAGCAATACACATTCACTGCACTCATACACTTTGAGTGGCATTCCGATTTGACTGTATTACCCGTGCGATAGGAGCTTGCCCTTTGTTCTATCTTCATAATTACCAACCCCAGCATTCTGTAAGGAAACCACCCTCGTAACCACCATGGCCACCGCCACCAGGGCCACCCTCGCCACCATCGCCACTATCGCCACCGCTAACAGGGCCAAGCACTATCGCCACTACCACCCTGGCTACGCAAGGATGACTCGTAACCCCTTTCACGTGTATATAGACCATGGCCTTTGCACACCTCTTTAGCTCAGGCCAGGTTGAAGTCTTACGCCAATACCAGTCATTGCTCGCCCTGCGTGTTGCTCCTATTGTGACCACCTTGATCAGGCGTACCTGCCTTCTCTTACAATTCTGTGGAGCCCGTGCTCCCTTACAGACAGACGACCCTGACAGTTGAGTGGTTTGTAATAGTTGACCACAAAAGTCGAGCCACCATTCCCCTCTATCAGTCTTGACATTCACAAAAACGTGCTACCCGGCTGGGATAGTAAGCAACAGTCACCGGCACCGCGGGTAAGAGCCAATGGCCGGACTGTTTTTCTTTCAACGTTTGTATCTTTCTTCAGTCTTGACCATTCCCAGAGCACCATACTGCACTCTATCAGTTGACCAATTCCAAAAGTCAAATCACCACTATACCACACTCTGCCAGCCTTGATATGAATGGAGCCACCATTCTACTTCACTTTACCAGTCTTAGCCAATTTTAAGAATCGAGCCATATCCTGCTGCTCTTTAACCATTACAAAGTTGTGCCACCGCGCTGGCACGGCAGGCAACAGCCACCGGCACGCAGGCAAGAGGCAACAGCGTCAGCCGGACTGTTTTCCCTTCAGGTCTCCTTTGTATCTTTCTTCATTAGTCTTGACTATCCACCAGAATCAACACCATAATACACTCTACCTGTCTTGGGCAATTCCAAGATGGAGTACCATTCTGCTATATTCTTTCTTCCACCATTTACAAAAATGTGCTACCGGTCTATCACAGCAGGCAACAGCTACCAGCACCGCAGGCAAGACCCAACGGCCGTCCGGACTGTTCGGAAGTTCAACGGAGTGGGCATTTATATCTTTCTTTAGTCTTGACCATTTCTTGGAATACTACACTCTATCAGTTGCCCAATTCCAAAAGTCAAATCACCATTCCCCTCTATCAGTCTTGACATTCACAAAAACGTGCTATCGGGCTGGCACAGCGCAGGCAACAGGCATCAGCACTGCAGGCAAGAGCCAACGGCTGTCTGGACTGGTAAGCCGAGTTCCGTCAACGAGTCGGAGCATTTTCCCACCGTCGAATTCTCTTTATTTTTTCTTCATCAATCTTAACCATCTCTTAGAATACTACACTCCGCCACTCCAAGAATTCCCAGAATAGGGCTGCTATTCTATTACTCTTTTTCCCAGTCTTCGACCATCTCTAAAAATGTGCCACTGGCTGGCACGTTGTAGGCAAAAGCCCCGGCACCGCAGACAAGAGCCAACGGCGTCCGGACTGTTCAGAAGTTGAACCATTTTCTCCCCTTTGTGTCCTCAGTCTTGACCATTTCTTAGAATACTGCACTCCCAGTCTTGAGCAATTCCAAGAGAACACCATTCTATTGTATTATTTCTTCCACTATTTACAAATGTGCCGCCGAGCTAGCATAGTAGGCAGCCACTAGTACAGCAGGCATATTAGCCGGACTGTTTCCCTTTAACGGAGTCGGGCGTTGTATTTTTCTTCATCAGTCTTCGCCATTCCAAAACTCGAGCCACCATTCTCAGTCTTTACCATTCACAAAATAGAGCCACATTCTACTAACTTCTAGTCTTTGACTATCCTCTGCTCGAGCCACCATTCTGCTGACTTTTTCACACCAGTCTTGACTATTCACGAGACTCGAGCTACCATTCTGCTGCTCAAGCTACCATTTTCATCACTCTGTGCCATTCACAAAATAGAGCCACCATTCCCCCTCTATCAATCTTGCCCAATTCCAAGAATAGAGCCACCGGCACAGCAGGCAAGAGCCAACGTGCGTCCGGAATGTTTCTCTTCGACCCGGGCTTTTTCTCTCCTTTGTATTTTTTTTCAGTCTTGACCATTACCACCACACTGCACTCTGCATCAGTCTTGACCGTTTGCCAGAATCAAGACTTCGTCTTGGCCATTCCAAAAGTCGAGCCACCATTCTACTACGGTCTTGCCCAGTTCCAAAGTGGAGCCACCATTCCCCCTCTATCAGTCTTGCCCAATTCGGAGAATGGAGCCACCATTCCCCCTCTAGAGCCAACGCGTCAGCCCGAATGTTTTCCCTTTAGGTCTCCTTTGTATTTTTCTTCATCAGTCTTGGCCATTCCCAGAATCAGCACCGAGCCACCATTCTACCTCTATCAGTCTTGCCCAATTCCAAGAATGGAGGCACCGCAGGCAAGAGCCAACGGGCGTCCGGACTGTTTTCCCTTCAGGTCTCCTTTATATTTTTCTTCATCAGTCTTGACCATTCCCAGAATCACCACCACACTATACTCTGTATCAGTTTTGACCGTTTGCCAGAATTAAGACTCTACTAGTCTCGTCTATTCCAGAAGTCGAGCCACCATTCTATTCCAATCTTGCCCAGTTCCAAGAATGGAGCCACCATTCCCCCTCTATCAGTCTTACCCAATTCTAAGAATGGAGTCGCGTCAGCCCGACTGTTTTCCCTTTAGGTCTCCTTTGTATTTTTCTTCATCAGTCTTGACCATTCCCAGAATTAGCACCATACTACACTCTCTACCATACATCAGTTGACCAATTCTAAAGGAGCACCATCTACTGCCCTTTCATCCCACCCCGGGGTGCATGCTTCTGCAATACATTGAGGGGACAGTGGAAAAGCTGACAAGGCCACCACAAGGAAAGAATACCAGGAGTGGTTTGTAGCCGTCGCAAGGCGGCCTCATTCTCCTTACATTGCTAGAAAATCGGCATTCGAATAGCCCTAGGGGTGCATGCTTCTACATTACATTCAGGGGATAGTAGAAAACCTGACAGGACAGTGGAACATCTGACAGGGCCACCACGGAAGAATACTAGGCGCCAGCATTCTCCCGCCCCCAAAACTACCTCCAGCTCCCTAAACGACAACCCCTCACAGCCTACCCAACAAGCATTCTCAAATATACAAGGAAACAAGAAGGGAGGTAGGGAGAAAGAACAGTACAACCAATACCAGAGCAAGATTTCGAAGAGTTGGAAACATCACAAAGGCAAGGGCAACAGGGAGAAAGAGCAGTACAGCCCATCTCCAACTCTTTAAACTGACAACCCCCTCCTCACAGCCAACCACCTACTCACAGCTAACTCCCTCACAACAGCCTCGAACATACAAGGAAACAAAAAGGGGTAGAGAGAAAGAGCAGTGCGCCAATGCCAGAGCAAGATACAAGAGTTGGAAACATCATAAGGACAAGAGCGGCAGGAGAAAACATGACAAAAACAGGAACGGCAGAGAGAAGATATTATGACTTTTGACGTACAAAATACTTTCTTGTTCCACTCCGCTAGTTCTGATTTATTCTCATCCGCCTTTCACCAAACATGTTGACGTCAGCAACACAACGCTATGGCATAGTCACATTACAGGAAAACTGTGTTTCTTTGTCCCCTCCCCCGTTGATATTCGGCTCATTGCCTCTGGTCTCCATGTCGCTTTCATGCGCCTCAATTGCCGAGACAGCCGGTACGCTGGGTTTGATTTTGCGTTTTTTGGAGGCAGCAGGAAGGGGCAACGAGACGTTTGTGAACGGAGGCGGCCTCTGCGATCGTGCGAGCCCAGCAAAGCCCAAAGGTTCTGAGCTGCCCAAAAGATCCGCCCGAGCCCGCATCCTAAGCCAGCTCAATCTGTCACTATTTGGTACTGCGATCTTGAACTTCTGCTTGCCTCTAAGGTAGTCCGACGCCTTGGGGCCAATCTGCGCATATATCATCAGTAACAGTGCTGCAAAAAGAACAGCCTCACTAGGTTCTACTCACGTTGTAATAGGTATTAGAGACGTTGACCCTCGAATTCACTCTGTTTTCTTCACTCAAAGCCTCTAGAGTGACGAGCGTCAGGATGATTCGCTGTACTTGGTGGGACTTCATCTTTTTGGCAATCCCAAAATGTTCGATTGAGTTATTCTTGTCAGAAGTATTGCACTTCTAATGATAAAGATGATTTTGTTGAAGATCTTTGAAGCGGTAAATCCAAAAGCGATGCAAAAGATGTAAAAGTGATGATTCCTTCTAAGCTTAGTGGGAGCGGGGCATTTCTCAAAAGCTGGAAACCCCAGACCCCGCTAGTGTCACGTGCCAACATGGCCCGTGCGCTAGCGTGGGTCTAACCCGATGCGTCCGGCTAGCGCCAAACGCCATCAGTGGGGCTCCCACCAGCGCTCCAAGAAATGAAGCTATTTATATTTTTTCGTACATCAATCTTGTTCAATTCTGTCTCCTCTCTGGCTGATCCAGAGAGCCTTTAATATAGTACAGTGGGTGGCGATAACAGATGGCGGTAGTTGGTATGCATGCTGACAAAATCAAGTCTAGTTCTTTCTACCCCTTTCCATCTGACAATTCTCTTTGACGCGCTTTCTCGTCATGATCTCGACCAGTTTACCCAGCGTAAGAGGCCCCTTGGACCGGACTATCTTCAATACCGCCACGGCGATTTTGGTGTAGTCCTGTAACTCGGCAGATATATTAATTCTGCCGCTCCGACAGTTGTCGCAGGCGCCGTTGCAATTAGCAGGGTTGAATGATTCGCCAAAGTACAGCAATATCTCGACTCGCCGGCATGCATGTTGATTCTCGCAAAACGCTACAACACGGTTGAGCATGTCGAGTTGCCTTTCCTTTTGCGCCTGATACCCTTCACCTTTGCTGATCATTCTCCGAAGGCTCTGAATGTCTCCGTAGGTAAAAAAGAGGTAGCAGTCCGCATTGTTCCCGTCTCGGCCTGCCCGTCCAGTTTCCTGGTAGTAGCCCTCGAGACTCTTAGGGATGTGTGAATGGATAACGAAGCGCACATCCGCCTTGTCGATGCCCATTCCAAAGGCAATAGTGGCAACCACTACTTTAATTTTGCCTGACTGCCAGTCATTCTAGACCTGAGATTTCTGGCCTGAGGGGACTGATGCGTGGTAGTGGTGTGCCTTGATGCCATGCTTCTCTCTGAGTTTGTCCGCGATAGACTCGGCCGACCGACGTGAGAGAGTATATACAATGTCCGTCTGCCCGTCATACTTATCGTTGATTATCTTACCAATGATATTCGTCTCCTTCAACCTGACTTTGTAGAATGCGCTGGGGAGTCTGCTAGAAACTAGTAGAAAGATATCACGCGTATCTCAGCTACGGTATTCTGTAGTGGCCAATGAGAAAGAAGAGCGTTTAGGGGCCTGTTGTGGAGCCTCTCTCTCTATTTTCTTCCACATTCAAATTCGAAAATTCTTCGCCCAAATACCCCTCTTAAACAGGCCGTTTGGCTTTCGACATCTCGGATTTTCTCGCGCCACCTATCTCAATGTTCGGGTACGCTACACACCCGACACTGATATCTTTCATTGCCTCATCGGCGACGAGGGAGTTGACCTCGCCCAACATGGGCCAGAGCATTGATGGCATCTGGACGGGCTAGAAAAAGGACAAGGTATGCCTCTAACCGCATTTACTCTCTTATTTCAATCCCTACAGTAGCATTTACAGTGGCCTACAGTGGCATTTGCAGTGGCTAATCTTCCGTACCAAGTTTGAAAATTCCAACTAGGCACGGCGGAGTCTGCTAGGCACAACAAATCCCTAATAAAGCTCTATCTAACGCCCCAACGACGTTCTCGCTAACATCCCAGAGATAATAGGCTCAATCCGGTCGCAGAAGAGGGACTCCTCGCTCAAGAGGACTATGACGCGGCCATCGACGCGGCAGATGTTGAAGTCGATTTCGACTTCAAACTTGACGGGGTTCTTGAATCGTTATTACCTGCTTCCCAACATGGGTGAGTTCAACGGTTTCGGCGGCTCCGACCGGTCTCGCCCAACCGCACCCGGGGCCTAGCCGTTGCCGATGCTTGTCGGCATGGAATTTCTGGCCCATCTATTTTGGGACAGGTATCTAGAGTACGAAGAGCGATAGGAGGTGCCTAGTCGACGCAAATGGAGAGCCTAGTGGGGCCGGTTGAAGCTTTGCGAGAAGACCTGGCAGTTATTCATGCCGAGATTATGCTTGACGTCGAGAATGACGCTCTTGATGGCTGTTGCTGTCAGGGCTATCACCGGGACACCTGGAAACTGACGGCGGACTTTGCCCAGGCCTTGTAATCCGGGCGGAAATCGTAACCCCATTGGCTCAGGCAGTGCTTCGTTGATGACGATACGAGCCAGCTTTTTCTTCTAATATAGCATCGGCATCGCAGGATTGTCTAGCTTCGAAAACATGTCGTTGTCATCGAAGAGAACTTTTCCTCCAGAATTCGCGAAGTAATTATTAGGCACATGTCGTGAGCTATCATAGCTGTGGGGCTTCCAAGCTGTAGACCAGTTGTCCCGCACGAAAGGTGCGGAAGGCGGTTGTGTTGTGTCTATCTGCTCGGATTTGCGTGATGAGTGGCAGTCCGCATGCGGCGCCTGCGTCTCCCGCTCCTTTGTCAGGTCCTTGAGACCGATCAGACATCTTTCAAGGCCTTTTGCTTCTGTAGAAGTAGATTACGCTCACTTCGCACCCGCTCTCGTCCTCGGAATCCACGACAATTTCACTTTGTCTAGGCTTTTTTTTCGTCTTGATTGGCTCATCCAAGTTATTCGATTGAGCTTGAAAAGCATTACAAAGCCGACTGGGTGATGACATCGACTTTTGCTTACGTGTAGACGCTGAAAAATCAGAACCTAGACTTTGGCGGGACGGCGACGAAGATCGCCGTCGTCAGAGATAGAGTATTTGCGATCCCCTCGCTTTTTTTCTTCTTGCCCCGCTTTGGCGGGAGGGGTTCCGGTCGCTCAGCATAATCATCGCGCCAAACAGTCACGTCGTCCCCGAAGACCAGAAAACAGGCACCCTCGAATATGCAACGACATGAAGGGCGGCAGAGGATTTGCAGCCTGCTTCGCGGCCTACGCAGCCTAGACCGCGACCTACTTCGCGGCCTACTTGGCCACCAATTTTGCTACCGCAAGCAGTATAGAGATTACAAGTTTTTTTCGAGTAGCACAAAGTCGTACTGTAGCACAAAGTCGTGCTATAGTACACAAGGTTGGCTGAACAAAGTCTTTTACCAAACAAAGTCTTTTGCTATGTAGTACTTGCCGAGTAGTACAAGTTGTTTACTGAATACAAGGTATTCTACCTTCCTAATCAAGCATGTTGTTTACTGAATACGAGGTATTCTACTTCCTGATTAAGGACGTTTCGAAGGACGTTCAGCAGGTTTGGATGTGGGTTTCCGGGGATACAGAGAGCTATGGGGGTTGCCCCAGTGATCCCGGGAATACAAAGAGCCATGGGGGTTGCCCCAGTGTTCACCATGGTACATGCGGCATACACCTGTTCCGTTGTCGAAAAACGCATTAGGGCGCGGATCGGTCGCGGGGTCTTCGAGCTTATGCTCTACCTCGACAACTTGAGCACGAGCCGGCATCAACAGATCCGAGTTCCGACCCTCACAACGTGGGAACGTAGTGGCCCGGCCTCCGCTAGAATGCTTGGCTGTCTATTTGTTAGCATCGCACTGCTCTACGGCTAGTTATTGGAGTGCTGACCTGTAAGGAAAAGGACACCCCAAACACCAACTGCGCGCACAGGGTGCGCTCCCACCACTTGTCACCAACTGGCTAGAACACTGCCAGCTGGCATACGCTACGCCGTGGCGCCACGACCGCAGACTGATGCCCGGGGTGGCGCCACGACCGCAGACTGATGCCCGGGCCGAACCCCTGAGCAGGTATATAAACAATGGCCCTTGCCCATCTTCCTTTGCGAGGGCCAGGTTGAAGTCTTACACCAATACAAGTCATTGCTCCCCTACCTTCTTGCCTGCATTGTGACCACCTTGATCAGGCGTACCTACCTTCTCTTACATGACCTTTATCTGCCTCGGCGCTCTTTGAGCTCTCATCTTTATTTGCCTCGGCGCTCTTTGGACTCTTATTGGGCTTTTTATCCTCTGACTTGCGAGAGGGCACTGGCTCGGGGTCAGCCTCCGACCGCGAGTCCGAATCAAGTTCCGAATCGGGCTCGGGCTCAGACGAGGAGACGGCAAGCGTCATGTCGCTGTAGGAGTCAAGCGGCTTCTCCTTGGCCTTCTTGGTCTTTTGCCACTCTACAGCCTTGTCTAAGATCTCGCGGCCTAGTTTACATTCGTCGCAAGAGCAGTCCGGGTGGGGATCCATGCTGAACGTCGCGTCTCCCGCAGTCGACTTTGACTTTGAGTCGGCTTTGCAGCGGGCGTTGCGAGGTTTCTGCCGCTTTACTGAGCCCTGTTCGCTGCTACTACCAGCGCTCGTCTCTGACGATGCCTCGCTTGCCGATTCGAATGACTGAGCGGAACGTGACTTCTTGAGAGCCGACTTTCTCACGTCTTTGGGTTCGAATCGCACCTTCTTGGGCCGTGGAGGGAGCCTGGAGAGATTGAAGCCGATGACCCACTCAGCGAACGAATTGGGGCCGGCCATGGCGGCAGTGCTCTCGGGCAGATGGCGGTGTCGTGCGAATAGGCGAAGTAAGGAAACAGAAGTCGGTTTTATCAAGGCTACCGTGACCGCGACTCTGGGAGAATGCTCGAAGATGGCGCAGAAAACCGAGGCACGAGTAAATCGCGGGGAGAAAGCGACTCGAGGTGGGTCGTGGGCTTGTACGGAACGAGAATTTAGGGGTGACGATTAAGGCGACGTCGAGAGAGGGACCAGAGTCGAGAATAAAACGCACCGCCTCGGCGAGGCGAGTGCAGATTTAGTCTTGTTCTCTAGCGCCCGATGGTGTGTGTGCGGTGAAGAAGGAAGTACGTGTGGATGGAAGGTGTAGAGGAGGAAAGGTGTAGAAGGTAAGGTACTGTAACGAAGAAGTAGGGTGGTGTAGAAGGGAAGGTACTGTAACGAAGAAGTAGGTGGTGCAGAAGGTAAGGTACTGCAACGAGGTAAAGTGAATATGGTAAGGTCAGTGCTGTAGATGCGTCCCAGGCAACCACCTTATCACCTCTGTCTTCACCTCCCCTTTCCCTCACCCCCCTCGATACCTTTCGTCCCAAATCATAATTACCTTACCTTACCTCCCAAAATCACAATGAAAACGCAGCTAACTAGCCAGCCCCATCGCCGTCGTCTAGGCAACGCCGTGCCGGATACGATTGGGGCAGACCACCAGGGCAGCACTACTAGGCAGCCGTACCATCTCTGTTTGTCCCGCCTCCGCAGAGCGCCGGAATTACAACCTAAGTCCCCCATGTCTCCCAAGTTCCATATGTCCCCCATGTTCTATATGTCCCCCCAGTCCGCCAACATATGTTGGTACGTAACACTAGCGGGGTCTGGGGTTTCTAACTTTTGGGAGCCCCACGCCCCAAGCTTGGAAGAATCATCACCTTTATACCTTTTATCTCTTTCGGTTTTACCGCCCACCAAGCTTGGAAGAATCCTCACTTTTTACCTTTTTTGCATCCCTTCGGTTCTACCGCCTACCAAGCTTAGAAGAATCATCACCTTTACCTTTTTTGCATCCCTTTCGGGAAATTGGCCGGTTCCTCAAATCCCACAGAAGAGTGTAGTAGGCCGCCTACAGCGCTGTGCGGTGACAATCTCTTGGTTGCGGGAGGGACCGGTTTCTGATGCCCGGCCGAGTATGGTTCTACGCTGTCCGGAATCTTTGTGCTCCGAGACGAAAGCGAAGCCGATCGCAAAAACTCGCCCCGATGTACAACCGATAGCCATCATCTGCCCTTGGACGGCTGGACCACCCATTGCCTCTTCGCCTTGGATTTTCAGCAGCTTCTCATTAGATGTTTCAATTACAGGAGGGCTGATAAACCTGTTTTCTCGGTACTCAGGGCGAGACCCCCTTGGCTGCCATTGTGCCCGAGCAGTTTGAGTCAGTGTAAAATCTTGGCATTTTGGGAAGAAATCTTTCAACCTGATAGCAATACACCTATCCCGCCATTTTTTTCGCCGAGACGAAAGGGAGCGTCCTATTCGGCGGAGAGCATCCACCCGTTCGGCCTTGCCCGTTCGGCCTGATTTTGCGCGCAACATTGTCGGCAAACCTCTTGCGCATCTCGAATTGGTAGCGACGGAGAACCCAAGCGCCGGGCTCGCATGTCGGCCCGGTGCGCGTCGAGGCGGGATTTAGGCGGCCACCTTATCGGCCTGTTTCGGCCAATCGCGACATGGCCTGCGAGGGTGAGTCTGGCGCCGAGTGTCTGGTGGCTGAGCGCGGTTGTTGCGGCTGATGTCGTGTCTGGGCAGACAGCGGGCGGCCAGACAGCGGTCAGACAGACAGACAGCGGGCGGCTAGACAGCGGGCAGACAGCTGGGTAGACAGTAGCTGGCGGTACGCGAGACGCCCCGTTGGCCGCCAGTGGCACCGCAAGCGCCGCGATGGTGGAAAGAGTGTCAGACTGGAGGGTAGTCTGGGGATGCGTACGGTCGTGCGGTCGGCGTGGTCGGCGGTCGGCGTGCAAGCGGGCAAACAGTTGGCAGCACGCGACGGTACGCCCTGTTGCCCGCGAATGGCACCGCGATGGTGGGGGGTGTGGGAGAGTGCTAAACTAGAGGGCGGTCTGGGGATGCGGTCTGGGGTGGCGGTCGGGCGGTGGGTAGCTGTGTGGCGGGCGGCGGTAGCGTAGCGGGCGGGCAGCGAGCAGACAGCGGCACGCTGTGCGACGCCCTCTTGCCCGCAAATGGCACCACGATGGTGGTGGGAGACTGGGAGACTGGAGGGCGGTCTGGGGATACGTACGGTCGGCGTGCAGTCGGCGTGCAGTCAGCGTGTGGTCGGCGTGGTCGGCGGTAGGTGTAGCGTGGGCGGTAGGCAGACAGCTGGCGGCACGCCGTGAGACGCCCCGTTGCCGGCCAGTGGCACCGCGATAGTGGGGGGTGTGGGAGAGTGCCAGACTGGAGGGCGGTCTGGGGATGCGGTTTAGGGTGGCGGGCGGCGGTAGCGTGGCGGGTGGGCAGCTAGTGGGCGGGCGGCACGCCGTGGGACGCCCTATTGCCCGTAAGTGGCACCCCAAGTAGCACCACGAGAGTATCTAAGAGGCGGTCTGGGGATGCGGTTGGCGTGCGAGCGGGCAGACAGCTGGCGGCACGCGACGGGACGCCCTGTTGCCCGCGAATGTCACCACGAAAGTGAGGGGTGTTGGAGAGGGCCCGGGCTGCGTGGTTTGGCTGCCATGGCCCGAGCAGCGTAGTAGTAAAGAATAAAAGAAAATAGATAGAGTAAAATAGAGAGAGACATAGCAAGGCGGGAGAACCGAGGATCAAAATCGAGCAAATAACTAGGTAGATAGTAGCGAATAGCCATGCTTGGCGCCCGGGCTACGTGGTTAGACTCACGATCCCATCCTATGGCTATTGTCTCCCATGTTTATTGTCTCTTATACTATTGGCTGGCATGGCCAGTCAAGCTCAATTAGACGATAGACCCGGACAATAGACTCGCCCAGACTAAAGGAAATCATGTGCGGGATAATCTCTTGTGCGGGACTGAACTCCCAAACCGGTTTCTAATGCTGATCTAGCTGAGAGTGTCTATAATCTGATCCTATAGCTGGGAGTATTTCTAATCTGATCCCAAACCCAATGCTAACCGCTGAACTCCTCAACCGGTTTCTAATGTTGATCCCAAACCCAACTAATCGCTGAGAGTGTGGTCCAAACCGGTTTCTAATGCTGATCCCAAACTCAACTAATCGCTGGGAGTATGGTCCTGTTTGTCGTGCAAGGCCTTCTCCAGTATGTACTTCCGTTTGTTGCGCAAAGCCTTCTCTCGTTCGTACTTGACGCCGCTTCCTATGTCGCTGATACCGTTGGTGTGGTTCTGTTTGTTGTGCAAGGCCTTCTCCTGTTCGTACTTGCGTTTGTTGCGCAAGGCCTTCTCTCGTTCGTACTTGACGCCGCTTTCTAGGTCGGTGATACCGTTGGTGCGCCACTCTTGGAGGTGCGAGATTGCTTCTCGCAACTCGAGTTCGTCGACCAAGCCTTGGCAGAACTGCTTATAGTCGTTCCGGTTCAGGATCTGCGCAAAAGGCTTCGCCTTGTTCAAGAGATCCCGTTCCTCCTTGGGGCGCTTCTCGTCACGCTTGATATTCTCGCTATAGTCGAGCAAGTTGTGTCGGAAGATGACCTTGTTCCTCTCGGCGCGCTGCGTCAGCCTGGAGTTGTATATGTCCATGACCGCGAGCTTGAGCTCCGTCTCGGGGTGCGGCTTGCCCGTACGAGGATTGATGCCATCGCTAGGGTCAAACTCCAAAACCTGTACCGCTTCCTCGGCCTCGTTCGCGTATTCCGTCTCGAATTCCAAGCGGCCGGGCATGAATCCCTCGATCTCGTGGCACGCCGGCAGACTCTCTGTCGGGTTTGTCTTGGGCTGGGCCGGCGCATTCTTTGCTGCCTCTCTGCGCTCCTCAATGCGTCGTGCTCTGCGAGACTGGAACTCCTCTTTCGAAATCTCGTTGGCTAGTTCCATATCGTGAGGGCTGTATGGTTTTGGCAGCGGGAACTTTGGCGAGGCGATAAAGACTTTGATGTAGTGGTCGCGGACTTCATCCTTGTACCGGTAGCCTCCGATATGAGCTGCGATGTCCGCCCACGAGCCTAGGCCGTAAATCTCGGCGCCCTCTAGGAGCAAGAGCTCTTCGTCGGCGCTCCACTCTGGGTCGAAGATTGGAAACGAGTTCTGCTCTACGACACAAAAGCAGTGGGTGGCAGGGTCATGCGCACCGCTCGACGACCCCTTGGCAAAGCAGGGCACGCAGAGATCGTACTCTTTACAGGTGCTGTGTGCGCACCGGATCCGGACCTATGTAAACGAAGCATTAGTATATGCGAAGCATTAGTATGTGCTTGCGACAGATTGCGGTTGACTGCTCTAAAGCCTCTCCTCATACGGTTGACTGCTCTATAGCCTCTCTTCTAATGCGTCGCCAGGGCTCCATAGAGGGCAAGGCTGCAGTGCGGGGCGGCGGGAGCATTAAAGGGGCAACGAATAAGACTGAAGAACTTACAGTCGAGGTAATATCGTTAGAGCAGATCTCACAAACGTATTTAACGCCGCCCTCACCACCGCTTGCGGCGGTTCTGTTGCGGATGACGGTCATGCTGGGTGTTGCGCGGGTTGAGGGGACCTCAGCGCGAGGCAAATTCGGCGGGGAGGATATACTTGAATGGGATCGATCAGCTGCGCGAGTGGGCAAAAACAACGCGACGCGTCGCTTGATGAAATTTGGCGATCCGAGCTGACGAATCTGATGGAATGCTGGTGCTGGTGATAGCGGCTGGTGCTGGTGATGGCGTTGATGTTAATCACCGCGTGGCTGTGTTCTGAGGCAAAAACAATGCGACGCGTCACTTGATGAAATTCAGCGATTCAACCTGAGGTGGTTCTTCCTCCGAAGTTGCACCGCGTCAGGCTGAAAGTAACAAAGCTGAAAGTGGCCCGTGCTGAGAGTTGTTTGTTGTGCGGGACTGAACAGTGGTTTTTTGTTGTGCGGGGCTGAGCTCCCAGCTTTCAATGCAGTGGTCCCAATGCAGTGGTTCTTTCTTGTGCGAGAACAGGACAACACCCCGCACACCTACACGCCCAGACAACACAACAGCCCGGAAGACAGCCAGGCCACGCAACAACCGCTCCCGCCTAGCAACCAGCCCACACAGCAACCCACGACACAGCAGCCCACGACACAGCAGCCCAGCCACCAGCTTACACACGCCAGCCGGCGTGACAAACTAAACTCGGGACCGGTATCCAATGTGATCCCATAGCTAAGAGTGTGGCTCTGCTGACAAACTAAACTCCGGACCGGTTTCTAATCTGATCCCATAGCTGAGAGTATACTACAGCCCGACTCTTTGTTGTGCGAGTACAGAAGTTCTTTGTTATGCGGAAACTAAACTCCTCGGTTTCCAATTCAAATCCCGCAGCTGATAAGCATACTGCAGCCCGACTCTTTGTTGTGCGGAAACTAAACTCCAGACCAGTGGTTCTTTATTATGCGGAAACTAAACTCTCCGGTTTTCAATGCAAATCCCGCAGCTGAAGAGACATTGCAGCTCAGCCTCCTCCTTGTGCGGAAACTGAACTCGGCACCCGTCACCAATGTAAATGTAAGAGAAGGTAGGTACGCCGGATCAAGGTGGCCACAATGCAGGTAAGAAGGTGGGCGAGCAATGAGTAGTATTGGTGTGAGACTTCAACCTGGCCCTCGCAAAGGAAGGTGGGCGAGGGCCACTGTTTATATACGTGCTCAGGGGTTCAGGCCCGGGGCGCCATGGCGTGGCGTAGTGGCTTGTGCCAACTGGCAGTGTTCCGGCCAGTTGGTAACAGGTGGTGAGCGCGCACCCTGTGCGCGCGGCTGGTGTTTGGGGTGTCCTTTCCTTACAGCAAATCCCATAGCTGAAGAGACATTGCAACCCAGCCTCCTGACTCTACGAATACAACAGCCAGATTCTAGCCCTACCTCCTGACTCTGTTCGGGAATTGAACTCGGGACCGATTTTCTACATCCGGCTGAGGAGTGTGGTCCTTGTCATGGAGCTGAACTCCTAGATAGTTCCCTAATGCTAATCCCACATGTGGTTCGTGTTGTGCAAGAATTGAACTCCCCAGTTTCCCTAGAGCCTGGAGAACACATGTTGGACCTAGGGGGCGTAGTCGAGACCTAGGGAGCGTGGGGGAGACTGGGGGGGCGTGGCGTAGATCGGAGGCGTGGTCGAGACCGGAGGGGTGAAGACCGGGGGGTTGAAGACCGGAGGCGTGGTCGAGACCGGGGCGTGGTCGAGACCGGAGCGAAGTCGAGACCTGAGAGTGACCATTGTTCGGCGTACATAGTAAGCTTGTTTTCGTGGCTGACGCTGTTGTCCCGTGCACTGAGGCATTGTTCTGGCATCTTTGCACTGTTCTGAATCTTCTAATCTTTGCACTATTCTGCGTCTTTCTAATCTTTACACTATCCTGCGTCTTTCTAATCTCTGCATATTCTCCCTCTGCATGTTCTCCCTCTGCATGTTCTGGCGTCTAATCTTTGCATGTTCTGGGTCTTCTAGACGTGGCGACCCAACAAAGAAATCGCCCCACAACGAAATCTCTGCCCCTGTCATCTAATTTCCCGCCCTCCAACTTCAAAACACCACAACTTCATTAATTCAAGCCCGAATTGCTTCAAAATGAGCCATATCGAACCGTCGTGAGCAGCTCATTCAAGCTGTAATACTTGCTGTTGAGCAGGGCGCCTCGCAGAAAGACGCCGCTAAGTTGCATGGCATCCCTGCCTCCACCCTCTGCAAACGCATCCATGGGGCAGAAAATCGTGCCAAAAGTAAACAAGCCGAAAGAAACCTCTCCGATGAGCAGGAAAGCTTCCTAGCCAACTGGTGCCTCAATGAGGAAGCTGCAGGGCTCGCTCCTAGCCGTTGTCAGGTGCAGAGATTCCCTCAAGCTATACTCAATGAGGCCGGCACGAAAAAGACCGTTGGCGAGCGATATGTGGATCGCTTCCTACGCCGCAACCCTGCGGTAAAGATGAAGAATTCGGCCTTGTTGGAATCGTCTCGCGTTAAGGGCTCTACTCGTGAGGCTTACGAAGATTTCTACAAGCGCCTGGCCTTCCAGATCAGGGATAAAAGGGCTATTGCTGCCAACATCGCCAACATAGATGAGCACGGCATGCAGGAGCTTGAGACCCTGGCCGGAGAGGTCATCGGAAGCTCCCTGACAAAGCGGACCCACGTAAAAAGCTCTGATGCAACTACCTAGGTCTCAATTATCGAATGCGGCACTGCAGAGGGCGTTCGTTTGAAGCCCGTGGTCATATTTACCGGGGCCAGTCTACAAGGACAACACTTTCTAGATAACTTCAAGCTAGAGGATAAATTCCCGGAATGGAAGTATGATTACTCAACTACAGGCTGGAGCAACGCCTAAATCGCCTCGCGGTGGCTCAGAGAGGTCTACCTGATCCAAACCGAGCCCAAAACGCCGGGCGAATGGCGTATATTGATCCTTGACGAACATTCCAGCCACATAAACGAAGAATTCATGTTGACGGCATGGAAAACAAGGTTCAGCTTGTCTTTTTACCCTCACATACATCGCACAAGACGCAGCCCCTCGATCGCTCTGTCTTTTCACCTTTGAAGAACTACTTCAGGCAAAACATCAAGTCTCTAGCGGGCTTCACATCGTCGGCACCTATCAACAAGCAACGGTTCCTTTTTTGCTACAGAGATGCCTCGACTCAGGGTATGAGTGCCCGCAATATACTCTCCGGCTTCCAGAATATGGGCATTTGGCCGTACAACCCGGCCCGCGTACTGGATGACCCGGAGGCAGTCATCCAGGAAGATGCCCTCTCTGCCCGGCTTTCCACACCACCATAGGAGGACCTGCATGACGAAAACAGGGCATTCAAAACACCAAAAGGAAGTCAGGATATTCGGAAATACCAGGATAGCATTCGGAATGCTCTCAGTCCGGCTCACAGGCGTGTGAGGGTATTGTTTACTAAGGTCGGGAGGTCCCTGGATCTGAAGAATACCGAGATCGCTTCTTTGAAGGCACAAATTACGCATCTAACGACCGAATTAGAGGCTTCAAAGCCTCATACACGTAAGAGGTTATACGAAGATAGAAATGACAAATTTGCATGCATTGAAGAAATTGACAAGGCCCAAAAAGCTAGTCAAATGCCCCACAAGCGAAGAAGAGCGGCTCGGGCACCTGTGCAGCCACATGCAGTCGAAGAGGCCCGGGAAATAATCGCCCGTGGCCTTGAGCAATATAGAGAGGCTGAAGAAGAGGATTGAGTATTTTTTTTGCTAGTTATTTTGTGTAGAAATGGATAATTTGCGCCCGTAGGGTAGGTGTGGGCATGGTGTGGGTCAATTCCGTTGATGGGCGATTTCGTTGTTGGGTTGGCTTTTCTAATCTTTGGCTCCTCACCCCACCACACCACTCTTTGGCTGCTCACCCACCACACCACTCTTTGGCTGCTCACCCACCACACCAGTCTTTGGCTGCTCGCCCCCCACACCACCCCGCCGCAGTGGCCTGCACCCGCTCAAGCCGATCTTCTCGGCCAACCTAGAAAAGTGACCTGGCCCTGTGGAACAGCAGCATGTACCAGAGGCTAGGCAGACTGCTCACCGCCGGCTTTGGTGCTCCCGCGGCTGGTAAGTGAATCTTGGTCATGTCCAGCCATGGGCGGACATAGACATTGCTTTTGAGTCCAATGTATCAACCCTGTCATTCCTGACAAAATTGGCTTTAGCCCCGAAGCCCTTTTCCAATTGCTGCTGACGATACTGATCTAGCTAACTTTGACGCCATCGATATTGCGTCAGCTTGCGAGAGGTCAAAGAATGGTGCCAACCCTGTCATTCCTGACGAAATTGACTTTAGCCCCGAAGCCCTTTTCTAATTGTCTGCTGACGATACTGATCTGGCCGACTTTAAGCCATCGACATTCCGTCAGCTTGTGTGTGGGAGACATTGATTGAAAAGGTGCATTAGCTAACTAACTCTAGGAGGGGAAAATTCCTATACTAAATATGTGGGCGAAACCTCCTGTGGGGGCACTTGGCCCATGCTCATACTAACCTTAATGCAAGGGCTGGGCTGGGCCCCGCAACGGCTTGCGAGAGGTCAGTGGAAGAATGGTGCTAACCCTGTTATTCCTGACGACTTCGCAGCCCCGAAGCCCTTTTCCTTCTTCTTCTTCTTTCTCTTCCTCTTCTTCTTCTTCTTCTTTGATTATTCCTCTTCTTCTAGCCTCTCCGCGGCTGCAGCGTTTTCAGCACCATGGGCATCACCTTTGCCAGCTTCGGTTTCCTTAGCAGCAGCAGCAGCAGCAGCAGCAGCAGCAGTGTGGCCAGCACACACGTGACTAGTGAGTTTGCATCCTCTTGTCTTTCTTTTTCTGGTCGTCGCTGGCAACCGTTGCTCCCACCTTACCGCACGTGCCACACACACAACTTGGAAAAATTTTCCCCATCTTGTGTCCGGCCTGTAGTGCCCCATCCTTCTTTCCTTATCTTTCCATTTCCTTCTACATGCGTGTGTGGACCCGCCCTTCCCTGGCCTTCCTGCACGCCTATATATTCCTTCCTCTTGCGCCGCCCTCGGCTGCTGCACTTCTTTCTTCTTGCATCAAACTCTTTTTCTCGAGCTCTCTTCTTGAAGTCTTTCGGCTGCTCGCTTCTTCTCTCCTCTTCTCTTTCTTACATCATCGCCTGCATACCTTCCTACCTCATCTAGCTTCTGCCTCTTGAGAGGTATGCTTCCTTCCTGCCTATCACCGCACAGTCAACTGCATGAGACAAGGCTGCAATATGGTCGCTGTATTCGTAGAATCTAAAGCTAAGGAAAGAAAGAAGAAAGGAAGTTTCTAAAGCTTGGGCAGGGCGCAGGGAAATAGGACGTGGGGTGCACGGGCCATCTAGTCTAGTGGGGTCCGGGTCGGGCCCACTATTCCAGAGTTGTCTGCACTTGCCGTGACAAGCAAGGTGGATTGTTGAGAGCGCTGATTGGAGCTTCTTCCGTAGAATATCTTTATGAAGATTGAACGAGCTGCTAATCCGTAGTTTAAGCGTCGAATGTGATGAGATAAGACTCTGAGCCTTAGGATTTAGCTCCTGACAAAAGGCACGAAAGAATGGGCTCTCGATAATCCGGAAGGGAAGATTTTGGGTGACAATCATAGCAACAAGGGCTTCATTGAGGGTTTTCTGGTTGAGAATCTTCCTCATAACTCGGGTATCCAATTCAGAAGTCTGATCGATTTCCGATGCCTTGTTGTATAAGGAATGAAGAGATTGAGATGCCGTACGAGATGGGGCTTCGAGGGTGATAGCATGCTTGCGAAGGTGAAGTCGTACATTCGTGGTGCTTTGCCCAAACCAAGGGCAGTATTGGCAATAGTAGAGACGATTTTTGCCTTTGTGTGAAGGCTCAGTCGATAGTGGCTGTCGAAGATGATCATGTAGACTTGACTAAATAGTTTCTTGAGATACCAGAGATTCCTCAGTATCTTGTGTTGAGGGAGTGGACATTTTGTAGTTGAGCCACTTTCGTAGCTATATTACAAGGCGTAGCCGATGAAGATGATGATATTGAGGGGAGAGGAGGGGTAAAAAATTATCTGCTTACTAAGCAACCGATATCGACGATATCGGTCGATATCGTCAATATCGGCGATAACAATTATTGATTCAATATATCGGCGATAAGCTTATCGTCGCCCACCCTGCCTACGAATGCCTCGTACAGGCTCCCCACGTCGGCAATGCCGCCAGTGAGCTATTACAAACCACTCGACTGTTAGGGTTGTCTGTCTGTAAGGGAGCACGGGCTCCACAGGATGCTGGGGTTGGTAATTATGAAGATAGAACAAAGGGCAAGCTCCTATCGCACGGGTAATACAGTCAAATCGGAATGCCACTCAAAGTGTATCAGTGCAGTAAATGTGTATTGCTTGCTTGAAGAACCAAGCAAGAACTATCTAGGACCGTGGCTACGGTCGTCGTATATATCTATCTAAGGCGGACCAATCAGGGTTCTCCCTTACAGTGCTCAGGGCCTCCGGGGCGCTTAGTCTTCAAGGACGACTGAGCTCTCAATGGTAACTGAGCACTTTCCTGATTGGCTGTTCTTTCTGCTCAGTGGGTCTTCCCAGTCTTGGCATCCGAACGCACTGAGCGCCGCCTGATTGGCCGCACCAAGCTCATGTGGGGCCCGTTCTGCCCGCCAGTGCTGCCCAATCAGCAGTTGGCTTCTAGCGCCTCCTGCAGACTTGAGCCAGGATCGTAACATGAGCCCGAGGCGTCCGCTAGAAACGAATGAGCCCTCGCTTCCTTGGACCGCCCGCCGAGAGACTTATAATAGATTACACAGGTGTGCAGCGTCGGCAGCTAGCAGAAACCGCCCCACGCGCATCTTACCGACGCATTGCTGGTGCACCTTGTAGGGGCTGAAATTGATGAGCCTGTACTGTTCGGGCGTTGGATTGCCAGGCAAGACGGCTTGGAACTTGGCTAGCTGGCGGGCGCGCAGCTCGTCGAGGGTCAGTCCGACGACCTCGCCATACGTGACGCGGTGCAGGCCGTCGGTCTGGATCTTGGCGACCATGTGCCAGTGCTTTGGGTGGACAAAGAACTGGCTGTTGTCGTAGCTATACGGCGAGAAGTCGTAGTACATGTTGGTAGCGACAATCTGGCGGTCCCACGTGAAGCCAGGGAAGACCCAGTCGCCGAACAGGCGGCGGCGTACCGTGCTGTTGGCACCGTCGTATCCCACCACGTAGGCGGCCTCGCGGGTCTCGGTGATGCCGTTGGGCGCCTCCACACCCACCCAAGCTCTGTCGTCATCCTGCCCCAGCTCCATCACCTTGTAATCGTAGCGGATCGATGCCGTGGGCTGCGCGAGCACGGCCGTCTCGAGGATCTTGCCCAGCCAGTGTAGTGGGAGGCACACCATGCGGTGCCGGAACGGCGGGTCGTTCTCCTCCCCTGGTGCCGGGTCCGGGTTGCTGAGCGCGACGAGCCGAGTCTTGTCGGCGTCGAGCTTGCTATTACAAACCACTCGACTGTCAGGGTCGTCTGTCTGTAAGGGAGCACGGGCTCCACAGAATGCTGGGTTGGTAATTATGAAGATAGAACAAAGGGCAAGCTCCTATCGCACGGGTAATACAGTCAAATCGGAATGCCACTCAAAGTGTATGAGTGCAGTGAATGTGTATTGCTTGCTTGAAGAACCAAGCAAGAACTATCTAAGACCGGTGCCACGGTCATCGTATATATCTATCTAAGCTGGGCCAATTGGAGCGTTGCTCTGTTGCTCTCTGACAGAGCTACAGAGCGTTGCTCTGTTGCTCTCCGACAGAGCTACAGAGCAGCCAACCAAACCGTTGCTCTGTACTCCACCGTGCAGAGCAAATGCGGGCCCTTCTGCTCTGTTCTCCACAGAACAGAGCAACTGTGGGTCCAAGCCCCTCCTTTAACGTGACTAGCCGAGGCGGGTCCAGCCACCCCTGCCCTGCTTCCCAACCAGTACGAACAGGGATTCGTGACACTTGCGCCACGATACGCCGTTGGGGCTGAAGCCCTCGGTGCGCACCTGTTCGAGAATCCCCGCCCTGTCGAAGATCACGCAGCTGTCCGACGTGTAGTGGCTCGCGCGGGGGTTCGTCTCGAGCTCGTGCGTCATCTCTAGCAGCTCGACGGCTACGCCGGCGCGCGCGAGAAGTAGTGCCAGAAGCAAACCGGATAGCCCCGCGCCCACGATGATAATCTTGGAGATGGCCATCCTCGTGTGTGTCTGACACGTCGTCTGCAGCGGATGAGTCTAATGCGTCTTTGTGTTGTTTGCAGTCGGCAGCTATGAGCAAGGACCGAAGAGAATGGCACTCTGGAAATTCGGTTGCCTACGAGACAAGAGCCTTTTTCGAGACACATGTCCTCAAAAGATTGAGATACGACGGGCCATTACAAAGAAACGTCGAGAAACTTGATATCAGACCAAGCGACCACTCGGTCACCATACTCTCACAAGAAAAGCTGAACTCCCCCGTGGTCAGGTAGCAACCCTTGGATGAAAAGGCATGACAAAGGACCGAGAATGTCGCCACGAGATTAGGGGCAATCACGATAAACACGAAGAAAGAGAAAGCTGAGATTAGATCAACGAACCCAGAGGCGAATTAAAATGCAAGAGAACCTAGGAAAAATGAAAGTGAGAAGACGGAAGCCTTGTCCTGTTGAGACCCGAAGCAGTCGCAACACCGTCGGGGGCTACTCTACCACAAGCAGGGGCGGTAATCAATCCCCATCGCCAGTTGCAACATGATGAAAGTCACCATTTCCCTCCAATTTGTTTTCTCGTGTTACTACCATGTTCTCGAGTGCTGTATTATCTCTGTGTAACAAGGCACTGCCGTACTAGTAAGCCACTTGCCAACTGACGCAATACGCAAACACCCGAAATTCGGCGGACGTAAGCGAATGAACACGGCTCGATATGTCAGAAAGGCCTTACTACTTTCGGTATGGTCTAGGATGCCCAGACCGGGCCCGCACAGGGCACCTAATTAACCGTCGTTTTACTGGGTCATTTCTGCTCTTAGGACCTGCAGGCGCAGGCCCCGTTTTTTGCTGCTACATAAAAAAATATACACAATTAGAAAAACCCTCATTTTTGGACTGATTTTGCATCCTTTTGGCACGATACAATCCAACTAAACTGGGAGCTGTGACATTTCTGGAGAGCGAAACTGACCGACTTGAGGAGTGCAAGTCAGATATGCGCCCAATTGGATAAGGAGAGTTACCTTGTCTGTGCCAGCTGATCAGGTCGGACCAAGGATAATAGGATCACGGGTCGTAGACGAAATATCTGTGCCAGTGGACCAAGGCGGCTACCGTGGAGGGTCACGCACGATTAAGTCGTAGGCTGCAAATGGCGAATCATGGCGATGTTGGAAGGCATTTACGAGTCAATGAGCTGGCCTTCATTGGGTGCACCTTAATAACGATGCCAGCACTTCGCGGCATTGGCGTATTCACGATTAATGCTGAGGTTCATGTGCTACGTATCATGCTTGCCGCCTACGTAAGGAATCCCCCGTCGAAAAAGGCCCGCGCAAAGTCGTCACGGTATTGCCGTTTGCCGTCAAATAGGCGAAACAAAATATAATCGTACAAGCGCGGCTTCCATCCACTCCGTATTCTGATCCAAGCCTGTGAGAAGGAGGGAGAGATGGGGGCCTAGAGAATTATGTCGACTAATGCCGTGACTGAACCCAGTCGCCCATGCCATAAAATGTCGAGTGTCGCAACCCCAAATGGCTAATATCTAGGTGACTTTGTGATGTAGGTAACGCGCCGGACCAGGGCCCTAATACCCTCCCAATATCTGCCGAAACTCCAGCCAAGCGCATTTTAGGATATCCGAATTTTGTTCCATACCAAAGCGAAGAAGAGACTCGAAAGAAAAACCGAGCTGCAAATTAGTCAGTTCTCTGGCGACCAGTGGCCACATCGACTCTGACGGCCTTTACGTGTGGTAAATTGCGCCCCCTCTCTCCAGCTCTAGCGGGCGCCTGCTGGAAATGTTAGCTTCATATATCGCCGTCGATGGGCAAGGTGGGTAGTACCATAGGGTTCGCGAGCCTCTCCACGCAGCGCCGAATCTCCGTAGCCGCCCGCGCTGGGAGCAGCGTCACGCGGCGGGCGAGTATCACGGTCGCCGCCACGGTAGTCACCACGCTCACGATCGTAGCCAGGGGCACGGCGATCATCAGCGCCACCGCGGCCTCTACCACCATAGCGCTCGCCACGATCCTCACGGCCACCAGTGCTTCCACCGGCGCCAATGTAGCGGTCAATGTATCCGCCACCACCATAGCTATTATTACGGTCACGGCGGTCATAGCCACGATCCTCACGCTGGTATCCGCGGTCATATCCTCTATCGTCGCGATAGTTGCGGTCGTAGCCGCGGTCACTGCCACCGCGGTCAAAGCCACGGTTGTAGCCGCGATCGTCACGGCCGCCACGGTAGCTGCCGCGGTACGAGTCATCCCTACCGCCGTAACCGCCGCCGCCGGATCCGCCACGGCGACGATCGTCGAAACGGCCTCCGCGGCCGGGCTCTTCCGACCAAGTTAGTAATTAGGCAGCTCAGCAGGGGAGTCAGGAGACACTTACCGCGCTTGGGGGGGCCGAAGGACTTGCCCGGAGTGGGAGTACGAGGGCGGGCCCGGCGCGCCTTCTCGATGCTGAGAGTGCGGCCCTCAATAACCTCACCCTGGAGGCCATCCTTTGCGGCATCGGCCATATCTGAGGTCACCATCTTTACGAAGCCAAAGCCACGAGACTCTCTAGTGTGGGAGCCCTTTATGATCTGGCACTTCTCCACCTCACCATACTTCTCAAAGAGACGGGTAACTTCAGCCTCTTCGAGGCGGGGATGGATGCCCGTGACGAAAAGGTTAGATCCAGGGTTGATGGCTCCGTCGTCATCCTTGGAGCCGCCGTCATTCTTGGAGGGTGCGCTGTATCTGTAATTAGCGTTTATTAGTCAATCGAGAAGTGAGGGCAGAGTGAGAAACGTACCGGTCATTGCCGTTGGGAGACATGGAGCGGCGACGCGACGACTCGTGTCTATCGTCGCGACGCGGCGACGTACTACGGTCGCGGTCGTAACGAGGGGCACCTTCTGCGGTAGTCGTTAGTACTCTGTGCGGGGCGATTGACGGCGACTCCAGTGCCGAAGGTGAGAGCGGAAGGTGGCCATCATCATTATCGTGACGTGTGCTACTGTTTGAAGGAAGCGCGGGCTGGGTCGAGGCGCACTGGGTCGAGGCGGGCTGGTCGCGACCGCGTTGGGGCGACTCACTATCGAAGCGATTACCGTTCGCGTTCTCGTAGTCCATCGCGGTAGTCGCCATCGTGATGATGCGGGTCACTTGGGAATCGGATTAACCTAGTGCGGCGTGGAGGATTGGTGTCTTTGAGGCTCGGCGGTGCGAAACCACGTGAAGGAGAAACCCGGGACGCGAATGGCAGGGAAAAGGAAAGAGTGAAATGCGATGCGCAAAGTGAAAAAATGTCTTCCTTTTTCACAGTGCAACATGGAAAATGGGTATTCGCCGATGGAAAGGACAATCAAAGAGTGGGGTTTAGGACAGGTCGATGTTGTTCACGGGCGAAATTTGGGGGAGGGATGGGGTTGTGTAGGAAGGGGCGCGATGTGTTCAGTGAGGTTTTGCGTTATGTGCTTGCCGCGTTTTTTTAGTCTCGCTTCAGCCTCTCTTTATTGCATATTTGGGGTAGGCTCTGGTCTGCAGCTTTCATGACCGGTCTGGGGAGAAATGCATCTCCCAGACCGTCTAAATCCGACTTGTCAAGCACGCGCTGGAGCATGGCCTCCGAGCCGTAGAGAGAAGTGATGCTGAGCGCGCCATACAGGCTGCTGTCGAATGCGAGCCTGGGCTTGGTCGCACAATCTGGGCGACAGTTCTGCGCGATCGAGCTGTGCAACCGCGTCGAGCCAGCCTGGCACGAAACCTCAATTTTGGCGACGCTTGGGAGGAGAGACGCAGCTGAGACGGCTCCAAAGTGCTCGGTCCAGTGGCACGAAGCATAGACAAACAGCTCACCGAAGCCGCACTCGGTTGGGTCGTAGTGAGCCGTGTCCTCTTCCCACGCCTCCCACGAGCAGTAGAGACTGACTTCGGTCGGCATATGGTCATTGTCGAACAGGTCGGGATCTTGTGGCAGCTCCTCGAGCGCCAAGCGCTCTTCGGCAAGCTGGTTATTCTCGCCAATTTCGTGGAGAAGATAACTGACGGAGATAGCTAAGATGCCTGCCTCTAGCTGCTCCACGCGCTGCTGCTGCATAGGCGCCGGAAGCGGTGGTGCTAGTGTCGCAATGGGCCCTGTGTCACCTGCAAATTGAGCCACATCCGAGCCATAACCGAGTTGAACCTTAAAAGGCCCTCTATGACGCTCACTTCCTAACATCACAAGATTTCCTTTGTTTTATCTTTTGGGTAAAAATAGTGGCTTCTTTTCTACATCTCTAGACCTTGGGGGAGGCAGACAATTCAAGACCTTTTAAGCCACTGTCAACTTTGATCACGAGCCAGAGCAAGCGTAGCCTCCCTGTAGATACAAGTTTTTTGCTGAGAAGTGTAAAATTGTTTGCTGGCACCCGATCTTGGCTTTGGACTTTTCAAATCTTTAGAGTAAAATTGCTTATTACAAGTTCGCTGAGGTACGCAAGTTTTTGCTGGGTAGCAATCAGTTTTTTGCTAAAAAGTACACAAGTTTTTGTTGAGTAGTGGAAAGCTGTTCGCTGCTAGCACCTGCGGGCCTTTGGCTTCTACGTTCCCCGGGGGCCAAGGTAAGCGCGAGCCCCCGATAGACACTTTTTTTTTTCTAAGCAGTACAAATTTACTCGCTGAGAAGTATACAAGTTGTTTGCGGAGGAGTACTTTTCAAATCTTCCTCTATTGGCCTCGATTGCTTATTATAAGTTTTTTTGCTGAAAGGTATAAGTCAGGTGACCAGCTTTTAGACCAACTCCCTTTTAGACCAAGGTTCTAGAAGGATGACGAACCTTTGCCACCTAACTCTTCTATTTCAATCGCTCACAACTTCACGAATTTGATTCCAAACTGCCTCCTTTTTTTTTTCAATCGCTTGAGAATTTTCAAATGAAGCTATATACTGCGTTCGATTTGCAGAACGCCCTTGCGGAGTATGCTGAAACTGGCAAACTCCGCGATGCGGCCAAAAACCACGTGTGATGAACCGCGCCCATTCTGGGCTAGTCATAGCTCTGAAAGTGTGACCGGCTAATAAGGATGACGAGATAGAGATGCGGGGTAGGGACCCGCATTTGCTCTGTGCGGTGGGGTACGGAGTAACGGTTTGGTTGGCTCTACGGGGTTGCTCCGTAGCTCTGCTAGGAGTAACAAAGCAACGCTCTGTAGCTCTGCTAGGGAGCAACAGAGCAACGACCTAATTGGCCCACCTTAGATAGATATATACGACGGCCGTAGCCACGGTCTTAGGTAGTTCTTGCTTGGTTCTTCAAGCAAGCAATACACATTCACTGCACTCATATACTTTGAGTGGCATTCTGATTTGACTGTATTACCTGTGCGATAGAAGCTCGCCCTTTGTTCTATCTTCATACTTGCCAACCCCAGCATCCTGTGAAGCCCGTGCTCCCTTACAGACAGACAACCCTAACAGTCGAGTGGTTTGTAATACCACGGCATCTCCCATAACATTTATATTGGTAAAACTTCAACGTGCCCTCGCAAAGAAAGGGGCGAGGGTGATGAACCGCGACCATTCTAGGCTAGTCATATATTACAAACCACTCAACTGTTAGGGTCGTCTGTCTGTAAGGGAGCACGGGCTCTACAGGATGCTGGGGTTGGTAATTATGAAAATAGAAGAAAGGGCAAACTCCTATCACACGGCTAATACAGTCAAATCCGAATGTCACTCAAAGTATATGAGTGCAGTGAATGTGTATTGCTTACTTGAGGAACTAAGCAAGATCTATCTAAGACTGGTGCCACGGTCGTCGTATATATCTATCTATCGCTAGCCAATTAGGGCAGTATTACAAACCACTCGACTGTTAGGGTCGTCTGTCTGTAAGAGAGCACGGGCTCCACAGAATGCTGGGGTTGGTAATTATGAAGATAGAACAAAGGGTAAGTTCCTATCGCACGGGTAATGTCACGGCCGGCTTGGAATGAGGGCGGAACTCCTCTATTGGGCGCTATAGACGAAGATTCTAAACTAAAGGGAAAAGGGAAAAGAAGCTCAAAAGCCTCCCCTCGCGAGATTCTTCCAGGGCGTCTCAAGGTGGGGCTCTGGCTGGTCGGGTGGATCCACCCAACTGGCGTCTGATTAGTCAGAGCGTCTGGGAGGCCTGGAGGACCAGGCCCTCACAGTGAGGGTAGTGGCCGTCGTTGTGGAAGTATAGCTTGCTGGTTATTATCGATAACTTCCATATTTTCAAACTGGTTAGCCAGTCGCTTAGGCACTCTCAGTTGCGTAGAGGGTGGGAGGTCGACGGCGAGGTCCTGGATCTCTTGTTGCTGGCGAAGCAAGTTACTCATTGTCGGGGTCTGGGAAGGTTCTTCGCCGTGGCGACGCTCGAGGCGATGGCGTCTCTGGATATCCGAAACCTCGCTACGAGCAGCAGCCATTTCGGGGGTATCCGTAGCGATACGGCCGCCTTCGTGGTATCGCTGGGCAAGGACGGTGTGGGTGAGATTCTGGCGAGGCGCAAAGGCGGGACCTTGTCCGCGGGTTACGGCAGCAGCTGCAGAAACCCTTGCGTTCGACGCGGCTCTCTAGGAATGAAGTTAGTAAGGAAACCAAGGAAGATAGGTCTAATAGACTTACCTGCTGCCTGCCGCGATTGCGGCAATCTGCGCAATCCAGGACGATCCGTCGAGGGCCTCGGAACGACCGGAATTGGTCGATTTCCTTCTCAACGCCGCAGGTGTGGCAAACTTTGCAGGTAGCCGCCTCCGCCGCCTCCGCCATAGATATCGAATAACCTAGCCATAATAGGCAAAACGGTACTACGGAGGAAGGGAGGTTAGCTACGAAGAGTGGGTAGATTGTAAGGTTCGTTAAAGGTACTACGGTACGACTAACTATTGTAAAAAGAAAAGCGATTGTGGGGTGGGCGAAGAATTTAAAGGCGGGGTTAAAGGGCAATTTGCGTACGGAGGTGCCTTTCAAAAGTTTTGCGCAGTGCCAAGAAAGCCACCCTCTTTAATTACATACGACCCTGGCCATCTTGGCCCCCTAGCTCCTTATTCTTTTCCGGCCCTCTCGATACTCGTTACCTCCTTCGCACTTTATTACCTGTTGTATATGCTCAACAATCCTTTCAATCCAGGCTTGAATACGCTGCTGAGTAAGTTTTTCGTTCCAGCAATGTTCCCATGCTCGAATAGCCTCAGCCCTGCTTTTTGGGGCTCCCTTTTTGGTTGTTTCTCTCTTCATCCAGAACCAACAAGGCTCTATCATATTAAGATCAGGTGAGTTACCTGGCCAGAGGAGGCGGAGTACCTGATGGATATCGTATATACGCTGTTGAGCGCGATGAGCGTGTGCGCCAGCCTTATCCTCCTGAACAAGCGTATTCGGCCCACAGCTTTTGGCGAAAGGGATAAGCTTTGGTATAAGGATCTTGGTTTGATAGCGATACCAGTCGATGCCTCCCTTGGATTCTCGTACGAGTTTGCCGTTCGCTTTGTTCCATCGCCATTGTGGTTTTCTGCCTCGTTTCGTAACCAAAGAGAGCCTTCCCATTTTGGTATCCAACTCCCACTCTTCACGCATTATTGGTTCCAACTCCTTATTCCATTCCTCAAGATCCTTCTCAGCTTGCTCCTTTTCAGCCTTTGTTTCCGGAAGCCAACAATGGCAAGGCCCCTTTTGATCGTACGAAAAGCAACCCCAAAACATAAACTCCGAATATCCTTTCCACCGTTCACGAATACAGCTTTTAAGAAAACGCTCATCAGCTTTCCTCCAATTACGATATCCTCCTCGGCGATGAAGTAATACAATAGAAGTTTCATCAGACCAAATAACACGTTTCCAATCTTCTAAAGTCCAATCTTTATGATCAAGACACCACTTCAGTCGTTCCTCCTTCATCTTCTTCGTCAATCCAGGCTTCCTCGTTGGCTTCGTTTTGTTGAATCCTGCTAATTTGAGGATCCTCCAGATTGTGATAGCTGAGATGTCGAGGCCCTCGGTACTGAGCTCACCGGCCAGATCAGCACAGGATTTCTCACGGCCATATCGATCTTTGCGAACCTTGGCGATAACCTTCTCGGTATTTTCGGGGGTGTGTTTTCGTGGACGGCCAGAGCGAGGGGCATCTTCAACCCATTCATCCTTAATAATTAAGGGCCGTATATTTGGATCAAATCCACGCTCAATAGCCCTGGCATATATTCGATTGACGGTACTAACGGAAACCCCGGTTTGTGCAAAGACATCGGCTGAAGAAAGGCCCACAATAGGAGATTTGAGGGTAACTATAAGCGCACGCATGGAAATATCTGTATTTGGCGACATCTTGATCGTTGTGTTGACTGTTGAGCTGTGGAAGCGGGGTTGAGGGGTAAGATTACGTGGCCAAACCAGATGTGGTGTGGTCGCTGATCATTCAGCTAAAGGGGTGTGGCTGGCTTGGCATTGCGCAAAACTTTTGAAAGGCACTTCCGTAGTCACGTACATAAGCCCACCCTGGCATTAGCACTCACGTGCGCAAGCCCACCCTGGCATTGACACTACTTGCGCACGCCCCACCAGGCCAGAAAGCATTTAAACGCTTATATCTCGGCTGATTTCCATTATAATACAAATCGGGCTTCAGATTCAAGATTGCCGTAGAGTTATGCACACAATGATACCGGTTGCATTAATTTTGGACAGTGTGCTGACCAAATGGCAGATAGGCACGTGATAGGGGCTGCCCATATTGAATGTGACTGAGAAATCGGGTCCACTTTTCCACATAGGTTAGCCAATCCGGAAAGGCAATAAAGCGTCTTATCAATTTTACATAGTAATTTTTTCAAAGTTTCACAATAATATTGTCCTCCGGACAGGATAAGGGCCTCTTCTTGCTGTTCAACCTGTGCTGCCTCAGCTACAGCCTGTGCTGCCTCAGTGTTACGATCCTCTTCCAAGTCTGCAGGAGGCGCTGGAAGCCAATTGCTAATTGGGCAGTACAGGCAGGCGGGCCGAGCCCCGCAGGGGTTCGGTGCAGCCAATCAGGTAGTGCTCTGCCCGATTAGCTGCCAAGACCAACAGAGCGGACGGAGCGGGCGCTCTGCGGGGCCTCCGTGCTCTGTGAGCAGAGCACCTGGGGCCCACGGAGCGCAAAGAGAGAACTCTGATTGGTTACATGAATTAGATAATTACGATGACCGTAGCCACGGTCTTGGATAGTTCTTGCTTGGTCCTTCAAGCAAGCAATACACATTCACTGCACTCATACACTTTGAGTGGCATTCCGATTTGACTGTATTACCCGTGCGATAGGAGCTTGCCCTTTGTTCTATCTTCATAATTACCAACCCCAGCATCCTGTGGAGCCCGTGCTCCCTTACAGACAGACGACCCTGACAGTCAAGTGGTTTGTAATACTCAGCTACAGCCTGTAATGTTTGACTGAGCTGACTTCCTTGACTGGCCTGGCTAGCAGCCTCATCGTCTTCAGGATCCCGGTCGACTAAGTCATCGTTTGAAGCCGGCTTGTAACGGCGGGCGTGTTCTGTTAACGAGCTCGGGGTGCGAGGCAGGCCAAATTAGACCACGCGAATAATGTCAGGAAGATCTATTCCCATTAAGAGAGACCGTCGCCTCACAATATGGCAGTCTGTATCGATCTAGGCGAAGCTATTGAAAATGACGTCTTTATCAGCATCGCAGACATCAGCGTCGTAACGCTGGATAACCTTTCTAGAAAACTCTTTCGAAAACCACACACTTCTTGAATACGGCATGAGGAATACCGAGCTTCTACACACTTCTTGTGCATAACAACAGGAATACCGAGCTTCCACACACTTCTTGTGCATAACGGCATGAGAAATATCGAGCTTCCACACACTTCTTGTGTATACCGGCATGAGAAATACCGAGCTTCCAAGAGCCTCGACTTGCTGTCGATATAAACGATGATCTTTAGAATCTCCTTGACCGTGGCGCTTGTTGCTCCCGCGAGAAGAAAATCCAGGCGCCTAAAGTCATTGATATACCCTCGCACGAGAGTTGTACAACGACGGAGATTTCCGGCCTATCAACAGAGGTCCTGATGATTTTGAGGCGATGTTGATCGAAGCCGGCATACTTGAGGGTATAAAGATATACCCTCGCACGAGAGGCTCTTCAACCAAACCAAGGAACCGCGAGCCAACAAGGCCCTCAAAGAATGCAGCTATGTAAATTCCTCCCCGATTTCTCTCCATTCCCCGACCATGTGTAGCTCGTCAATGCGAAAAGCCCGATCCGTTTATGGAAGCCCGGGTCTCTCTAAACGGCCTTGAATTCGGCGCTGATAGCTTGCTCAGGGCTTATTAGTACGTGTGCGTATTTTCCGTCGCAGACTTCATATCTCTCGATTCTAGATTATTAATAGAGGTAACTAACTTCGTAGAGGGAGTTGGTTACTGATTAAAGCTGAGAAGGCATCCGAAACTCGCCTTGAGATGCGTGTCGGCATCGGTCTATACAGGCTTTGCGCCCGCGACGTCTTTCACGATCGAATTCCGTTTATTCTCGCCTAGCTTCGTCAACGGCACAATCTGTACCTGATCTTCTTCAGCAACGACGAATAAGCGTACAAAACTGCGCTTTTGCCATACCCGATGACGCACGGTGTTGGCTTTTTCAAATATCAGGCGAGCCACGACTTGAACCTGACCTTCGAGCTTGTGAAGAAGGAGAGGATCTTCGGCATCAAACTTTACAGCTACAACTATTTTGGCTGCATTTTTGGCAGGGGGTCATCGAAAAGGTCTAGTTGTGCCAAATTCTTTAATTTGCATATAAATATATTCAAAATGTGAGGACCCGTCCACCAAACTGGCCCTCAAGCAGCCAGAGCCGCCCAGAACCCCCGGGCCTATCAGAAGCCTCCTCGAGGCCCCACCTACCCCACTGATAGGTGAAAACTTATTCGCGAGCACGCGACGCGTTGTCGGACTTTTCTTTCTTTCTCTCCTCAGTTTAGAATCTTCGTCGATAGCACCCAATGGACTGAGTTAACCTCAATGACTTGCCCTGGTCGTGACACAAAACAAGTCCAAAATGATCAATCTCCTCGCTTTCTGCATCTTCAGACATATTTCGGCTTTCTGTTACTGTTGGATTCACCAGGGTACCGGTACTGGAATCAACAGGGCGTAACTGTACGCCGAAAGCTGGTGGTTCAAGTAATGGATTATAGATGTGTAGTTCTTCTCTCTAGCTTTCTGGCAGTGCCAGAAGCCCCTTCTTATACTACTATTGTGGTGGCGAAGTGGGTGGCGAAGTCTCTATTTAGAACCTTCGAGGCCCTTCTGCTTGACAAATTCCAACAGTTACAATCTGGACAACAGCCACCTTTAAACCGTGATCGTAACACTTTCTGCTGTGGTTGTGTTGATTAGGCTATTTGTATTTCAATATTGTTCAAAATCGCCATTCGTATGGTCGCGTAAAGCGTTAAGCCGAAATCCAATTCCACGTCAGCTCCCCGCCAAAGTAAGCGCGAACCCCTGAGTACACAAGCTGTGGCACCCGCTCCGGCTGTGGACTTTGCCTTACCGTGCCACGTCAGCTCCCCTCTAAGGCAAGCGCGAGCCCCAAGTACACAAGCTGTTTGCTGCCGGCACCCGCTGTTGGCTGTGGACTTTTTGCCTTTCTGGCTTCTACGTCACTGATCTCTGGCAAGGCAAGCGCGAGCCCCCCCAGTATACATAGTTTACTGTCGGCATCCCCTTGGCTGTGGACTTTTTAAATCTTTATTGCCTGATTCACAAATTGTTTGCCAAGTAATACACAAGTGTTGCTGCGTAGCACACAAATTTGCTGTCGGCACGTTTCAGCTGAGCACACTTTGCCGAGTAAAGTTGTTTTGCTGCCAGTCTCTCTTGGGCAGCGCTAACACATGATCCCGCAAGGCAGAACTCTGACAGCACAGTTCAGTGACACTTGTCAGAAAAATGGGGCTAGCCAAGGGGCGACGGGTCAGTTCAGCTGGTGTGGACTACCATTTGCTACCATTTGCCACCACATTTGCCACCATTCACATCTATATAAAGGCTCTCTGGCAAAGCCAGAGGCCACAGAACAAAGAACAACCAAGCAGTTGCAACCCCATCAATTCCACCGAATCCAGTGTGCAGTGCATCTGACAACACTGTTCAGTAACACTGTTCAGTGACACTGTTGCCCTTTTCGCAATCTACTCAGTCTTGAATCAAGCATCAACTGGAGGTACCTTGAATCAAGTCAACTGCAAGTGCTCTCTTCAAGCCAGATCAAGTACCTCGGCAATGGTTTGAATCAAGCATCAACTGGATTTTAGGCAGGTCTAAAGCCAGAAGTCAGTTCAAGTCGGAAGACGATGAAGCACTTGGACGAGCCGGGATACGATGTCAAAAAGCGTGGAAGCACGAGGTCTCGGCACTTTTAGAGATTCGCACACCACAACAGAGGCAGAGCGTTGATGCTGTGGCATTACCGCAGCACGGATAAGAAGGCAGAGGTGTTACAAATTCGCTGAGTAGTACCCAAGTTTTGCTGAGAAGTAGCTGGCTCATTAAAAGTGCTTTGTGTCAGCTATCAAGTACGCTACTCTTTCTCGCCAAGCATGGCCTCTAGACTGCCGGCAATTTCCAGGCTTGGTTAGAACCTCGAAAATCAAACAGGACCACTGGACCTTGAGCTTTTGAAAGCAACCAGCCACGTTATCACGTGATATACAGATATCAGCTACGTGAGGGCTACCACCACTTTCTGCCCCGAAGCCACACTTCCCCAAAGCCACCCTTCCCCACGGGTATTTAAAGGAGCTCGCATTTGATTCGTCTCTGAATTTTTCCTCTACCTTACACCATCCTCGAGTTGCCGCACTATATTTCTACCCCTGAAGTTGCCGCACGATATTTCCACCCAAGTTACCGCACAATACTTCACAATGCCTCCAGGTGAGCTCTCTAGTCCCGGCGTAAACATGACGCGAGCTCCTGCCCCAATCTATCACGTCGCGAGCTTCTACCCTAATCTATCGTGTCGCGTTCGCGTCGCGTCGCCAATCGGCGCCATTTTTTGCAGACGTCGTCTTCTTTTGCGCGCATCCCCATGTGAACTTGGCTAACGCCGCAGGTTTAGCTATCAGCGATCACGAGGACAATTCGGACCACGAGCTCGCGGTCTCTGCAGAAGATAGCGATGGTGACGAAGAGTTGGCCAACGACGAGTACGACCCCACTGCACCACTCTTGTCCTTGCCCTATTCTTGTCCTTGGATTGCTAACTTGCCACCAGATATGTCGTTGAAAAGATCATATCGCATATGGTCAACGCCAAGGTATGGAGGACTGTTACCCCTAAGCTTAGAATATGCCGCTAACGCTCGATATTTAGGGCAAACTCCTCTTCCAGGTCAAGTGGGAGGGTTATGAGAAGAAGTCTGATCGGACTTGGGAGACGGAGGAAAACTTGACGTAAGATGAATTTTAGTCTCTCGTACCACTTTCTTTGGTAACCAAGTTGGACTCATAGAGAGAACGCGTCTCTAATCGTCGAGGAGTATATTCAAAGTGCCGGAGGCCGCGGCAAGGTCTCTAAAGGCACGGCGAATCCGAAGGGAAAAAAGCGTAGAAGACAATCTACAAGAACGCCTCCCGCAACTCGGAAGCGTTCAAAGAAGAAGGGCGAAGACCTTGCGGACGAAGACACCCCTCTGACTCCGGAGAAAGGACAATGGACCCCCCCAACAGGAAGTTGGGAGAACCACATTGCGCTGCTGGAAGCCTACGAAGACGAGGACACGCGCAAGCTGATAATTGAGGTAACCTGGAAGAATGGACACAAGACGGAGCACGACACAAGCGTGATCTATAGCCGGTGCCCCCAGAAGGTATATTTCCATATTAGCATTCTGCCCCGCCCCTGCACCTGGAAACTCGCTAACATACTCTCAGATGTTGCAATACTACGAACGCCAGATCCGAATCATCAAGTCAGTTCCTGCAGAGTAGAGTCGGCGGAGACACGGGTCTGAGTTTTGTGACGGCTTACAGAAATAATCTTGGCCTTGGGCTGCGTTGGGGTTTGTGTGAGGCGTGTGAATCAGGTGAATCGAGTGAGGCGAGTTAGGCTTGTAAACTCTGCCTCAGTGCTGTGTGCTACTAGGCCTGATTTTTGTCTTGTAGCATACCAGGCAGCTGGTTAGGGAGTTACATTCTCTAATTCACAAGTGTTTGCCGAGTACAAATCTTGCTGCGTAGCACCCAAGTTTGCTAAGTAAAGTTTTAGCTGCGTAGACACTGAGAAGAGTAAAGTTGTTCGCTGCCGGTGCCTTTCCGGCTTCCACGTCACTGATCCCGGCAAGGCACCCCCCCTACCCTGTAGACACTTACTGAGAAGAGTAAGGTTGTTCGCTGGCACCCTGACTGTAGACTTTTGACTCTGCCGTGCCTCGATTGTCACAAGTTCGCCGAATACACAAGTCTTGCTGCGTAGCACACAAGTTCGCCAAGTTGCCGAGTAAAGTTGTTCGCTGCCAGCCCCCGCTGTACTTTTTCCTTCTGGCTTCTAAGGCAGCACGAAGCCCAAGTAAACACGGTTTGCCGTCGGCACGCTGGCCGTCGGCACGCTGGCTGTGGACTTTTGCCACGTTACTTCCCGGCAAGCGAACCCCTCAAGTACACAGTTGTTAGCATACAAGCTGCAGACAAATGGACCGTCTACTGCCGTCTCTTGCCAGTTGTCTAGGCGTCTTCTGCGGGCTCACAAGCTGTCGGCCTCGACTTTGCGCCACGTCAGGCAGGCGAAGCCCCGAGTCTACAAGAATGTCAGGAAAATAAAAGCGTTGACTAGACATTCGAACCCTTTCTCCTAGCAAGAGGGTCTGTCTGGTACGGGCGCAAGTAGGCAGGGATTACTCATAGTATAACAATGCCGTCGGTATCGGTGAGAGCCATTGTGCCGCTCTTCCTGGCTCCTTTGATTCGCGCGCGTACGCTGGCCACACGAGCCGGAGCTCGCCGTCGTCTCATTTCCTCGCAGCAGCGCACACAATCACACATATACGCGACGCGACAACGCTCACAGCACCCTACTCCCCTGCGAAGAACAAACATATGGACCCTGCCACGGACTTGCGGGAGACACCGACCCTCTCAACTACACAGTAGCTGGATTTCTCTCTTCCCGCTTTCCACATCGCTAGCTAATTTGAAGCCTGGGACCTACAGCCGCTCTAGCCCACAAAGGATTCTGCAGCCCAAGGGCGCAGCGTAGTAGAGATGGTTGCCTAGTATCTGGTATTTCGGCATTTTATCTAATTCTTGGGACTGTCCTGCTCTGTTTTGGTCTCTTCTCACTTTCGCTGCTTCTTTCATTGTCATCTTTCCGTTCCTTTTTTTTTTTTTTTTGCTCTCCACACCCACTGAGATTCTCCCTCACCAATTTGCATCTTGAAATTCTTACATTCTCCATCGAACCCTGTTAAGCGCTTCATTAGCTAATTCTTATCGCTGTATTAAGGTAGGCCGACGCCTTTATTCTTGAATAATTGTCCGGGTGACTGAGGGGCATGTCATGACCAGGGCAAGGCATTGAGGTGAACTCAGTCCATTGGGTGCTATCGACGAAGATTCTAAACTGAGGAAGGAAAGAAGGAAAAGTCCAACAACGCGTCGCGTGCTCGCGAATAAGTTTTCATCTATCAGTGGGGTAGGTGGGGCCTCGAGGCGGCTTCTGATAGGCCCGGGGTTCTGGGCGGCTCTGGCTGCTTAAGGGCCAGTTTGGTGGACGGGTCCTCACAGTGGCGAGGGTGGCTGTGACGGCGCCAGCCTGCAGCACTCACTACCACTGCGCTAGAACCCCCAAAAGGATGCCAGAATTGCAAGTTGACAACTTGCAACCTGTAGTAAGCTATATAGTACTGCTACGGCCATTGCGCGCCGTGACAGTGGCGGTGGCCATGGTGGCTACGAGGGTGGTTTCCTTACATCCTGTTAATAGTGTTGTATTACAAACCACTCGACGGTTAGGGTCGTCTGTCTGTAAGGGAGCACGGGCTCTACAGGATGCTAGGGTTGGTAATTATGAAAATAGAACATAGGGTAAGTTCCTATCGCACAGGTAATACAGTCAAATCGGAATGCCACTCAAAGTATATGAGCGTAGTGAACGTGTATTGCTGCTTGGACAACCAAGCAAGAACTATCTAAGACCGTGGCTACGGCTGTTGTATATATCTATCTAAGGTGGGCTAATTAAAGTTCTTCCCTTACATGCTCAGCCGTGCTCACTCGCGCTTAGTGTGTCTTGGCGCTGTCTCCACTGAGCACTCAGCTCAGCCGTGCTTGGTCGCGCTCAGTGCGTCTTGGCACCACTGAGCACTCCCTAATTAGATGCACCTTCTCTTGGCGGGAGCCCCACCTAAGTGCCGTTCTAGCCAATCTGCAGCGGGTGGCGACGCCCTCTGCACCTTGAACCAGGATCGTAACACGGGCTCATAACTGTTGCACGCGATCGAAGTTGACAGCGCATTGAATTGTCTGCCCAACCCGTCTAAAAGTACAGAAAAGAAGGAAACAGCTGGCCCGGCCCAGGCGACCAGCTGGCCCCAAACACCCGGCCCAGGCACCCGCCAGATTGAGCCGCCCAACTATGTAAATAAACAGTGGCCCTCGCCCACCTTCCTTTGCGAGGGCCAGGTTGAAGTCTTTTACCAATGCCAGTCATTGCTTGCCCTCTTGTTCCCTCCATCGTGACCACCTTGATCAGGCGTACCTGCCTTCTCTTACATTTTCTACATACAAAGCATTTCTTGCCTTCGTTGTTAAATTCTCTGCGCTGTCCGCCGTCTCGGCCACGTGGTCCACTGTTTGCTCAAGAGCTCCCTCGGAAGCTTCCTTTGCTGCTTGATCAGCCTTCTTTATGCCGTCGGTCGACCCTGCTCGGCTAGATCCTTATCTGTTCTGTACATTCCTGCCAGCGTTCTGCCTGCGAGCCCTTTGAAGATCTTCTGCACCTTATTTACCAGGGTGTCAGAGCGTTGTGATAGGTCTTTGTCGGTGTTTTCTTTCATGGTGCGGGCAAGGGTCGTTGATCGCCACTCTTGGAGATATATCTGGCGATCTTCAACAAAGTAGAAGAATGCTCTAGTTCAGTTGACCATCTCGTCGAAGATGAGGTTCTCCTAGATCAAGCGGTCGAAGTGGAACTGCTTAGCTCTATCTTTCAGCATGACTGAGTACATCTTGTAGTACAGTTGTTGTGGGGCACCGATGATCTGGCAGTATGCTTCAAAGATCTTGATCTTCGAGTCCAGTATATCGTCGCGTTCGCTTCCAAACTTGTCCTCGTTGGTATACATCTTTGCGAGGTGTGTCATCATTCGCGGTAGCTGTAGCAGCGTTGTGTTGGTTAGGTATGGGTATATATCGAGGGCTTCGTCCTCGATCGTATTCGACGAGGTTATTGAGCTTGACGAGGTCATGCTTGCCGAGTCCTTCTTCACCGGTACTGAGGTTCCCGCAGGGGTGCTAGGGGGCTAGAAAAGTGCAGGTTGTATTTTGACTGAAATCTCTCTCCTCTATTCTCGGTGTATGTCTCTGCTTCCTTGTCGAGCCACTCGAGAGCGTCTTTCTACCGAGCTAGCTTAGCGAGCTGTTGTGAGATGTGTCACGACCAGGGCAAGGCATTGAGGTGAACTCAGTCCATTAGGTGCTATCGACGAAGATTCTAAACTGAGGAGGGAAAGAAGGAAAAGTCCGACAACGCGTCGCGTGCTCGCGAATAAGTTTTCGTCTATCAGTGGGGTAGGTGGGGCCTCGAGGAGGCTTCTGATAGGCCCGGGGGTTCTGGGCGGCTCTGGCTGCTTGAGGGCCAGTTTGGTGGACGGGTCCTCACAAGATGATCCTTTCGTTGCCGATATAGATGCCGTGATCCTTGAGAGTCTGCTTGAACGTAGTACGCAGGGTCTTGTCAAGGGTTTTGAAGTGGTTCTCTGTCTAATTGATGAAGTCATCTCGGAACATATTGAACAAGGCGCCATCTCGTAGCTTGAGGGTGTCGTATATCTCAATACATTTGACTAGGTAGGTATTGAGTCGCTTCGTGTGACGAACCTGGTTCGTACTGGACCAGCTGCAGGAGGCGGGCGCCTCAGGCATGACTGGGGACCCCGCTTGTCGTTGAGCCAATCAGACGGTGCCCGGTGCCAAGAGGGCTCTTGGCACCAGGCAAACGGAAGGACGGCCAATCAGAGGTGGCCTGGTGCCAAGAGGGGTCTTGGCACCAGGCAAATGGCCCGGCACGCTAGCAGTGCCCGGTGCCAGGCAGCTCCTTCCTGCCGGGCAAGTAAGAGCTGTGCTCTTACTGGCCCGCCATAATTAGATAAATACGATGACCGTGCCCACGGTCTTAGATAGTTCTTGCTTGGTTCTTCAAGCAAGCAATACACATTCACTGCACTCATACACTTTGAGTGGCATTCCGATTTGACTGTATTACCCGTGCGATAGGAGCTTGCCATTTGTTCTATCTTCATAATTACCAACCCAACATTCTGTGGAGCCCGTGCTCCCTTACAGACAGACGACCCTAACAGTCGAGTGGTTTGTAATACTTCGCCCTAAGTTAGTCTTCGTGTTCGGCGTCGAAGTCTGCTCTTTCCTAACGTGGGTCGGTGATGCTGATAATGTGGGCGTTTGTACGTAGGCTCGCCATCGTGGTGCTTGTCTTTGTCGAGAGATAGAGGTGGTTGAGTAGGGTCACAGCCTTTCTTTCTAACCACTAGGTCGCTCGCAAGGGGGGGGGGGGGGATTGCGTGGCGGACGCAGGTAGCCGAGTAAAGCACAGTGTCTTTCTTTTGACTACCCTTGAGGTCTTCGTCTCGGTTGGCCTAGTTAGTCAACCACTGATCAGTGTTGGAATAACAAAGTAACAGGGTGCTGGGGGTTTTAGGGAAGTGGGCTAGCCTCGGTCACGTGCCAGGGTAGATCGTCTGTGCGTACTTCGGTGACGTGCTAGTCTAACTAATTGGTAATTCCTACACGAACGTTTCTGTCTTCACAAATTAAGTAGGTGGCAACGTGTAATTGTGAAGAAGCATTAACAAAGATTCTAGTTGTCAAGTCTTTCTAACAATCCTGTTTAATTACAGGTTCAAAAGCGTCTCTCAACCCACCCATAAGCTAAAGTAATCAGCTACTATGGGGTGACGTAATAAAAATACCTGGGCAGAGTATCTCCCATCAACCCACCCAAGCTAGCTGCAATAAATACAGCTAATATAGCTAAAATAAGTCAATATTTTGTACACATACCATTAGCTGCAATTACTGCTTTGCAGCGGTCTGGCATCGACGCCAGTAGCTGCTTCAAGTAGTCATCTGGCAGTGCCTCCCAAGCCTCCTTAACATACTGGCGTAGCTTATCGTACGAGGGCTTCTCTTCCAGGCCGTACTCGTCTTCGATCCAGTTCTTCATTCAGTTCTAACAAGACTCAATCAGGTTCAAATCTGGTGAAAAGGGCGGCCAGTCAATTACCGTAATGCCTCGCTCTTAGAGATCTTGCTTTGTCTCTGAGGCTGCATGCCCTAGAGCGCCCTCTTGCATTAAATGACAAAGCTGTACCCAACCGTGAATCACAGGTACAGTATATGCTCGATACATTCGACGTTAATCTTGCCCCAATCCTTCTCCCAAAAGATTCTTGGGCCTTTGCCTAAGCTAGAAAAACAGCCCCAAAACATCCAGCCCCCCTTACGTTGATGCTTTTCTACGATACAAGTAGGATCCCACTCTTCGCCTTGACGCCGAGTTACATACTGCTTCCTATGCGGGCCACTAGTAACCCAGGTCTCGTAGGTCTAGAGCATCTTTGCCCACTGCTCAAGGGTCCAGTTCTCGTGCTCTTCAGCCCAGGCCTTCCAGAATTGTCGATTTTTCTCTGTAATAGGTGGCTTCTTACAGGCAACTCGCTGGCAGAATGTTCCAATCCTGGTTCAAAGGTGCAAAGGGCGTCTCCCGCCCGCTGCAGATTAGCTGGAACGGCACTTAGGGTAGGGCTCTCGCCAAGAGGAGGTGCATCCAATTAGGGAGTGCTCAGTGGGGCAAGTGCCAAGGTGCACTGAGCGTCGCTGAGCTCAGTAAGATCAGTGCCGAGACCCACTGAGCGCACTGAGCAGGGAGCTCAGTGGAGATCAGTGCGTCTAGGACTGAGCACAACTGAGCATGTAAGGCAGGAACTCTGATTGGTTGCTCATAGTTCTATATAGGAGCTGGCAGCACGCTCTCTCTGGGAGAACGGTTCTGCAGCTATCAATGCATCTGGTTAAGCATACATTGGTTGTGTGTTGAAAGCCTGTCTTTCGCAATCTGTGCACGATACTCCTTGTCTCCTGTCATCTCCTACCTGCCGTCCAGACCCCCACAATCCTAAGCCAGGCCTAGCTCTGTGGACCTGTTGTCCAGATTGTAACACAGAAGCCTAGTCTATAGAGTATGTGCTTGATTACCCACAAACCGAAAGTCGCGGCGAAGAAGATTGTCGAAAGCTTAAGAAAACCCATTCGGCGAGTCTTTTTACTACAAGAAATATATTGAACAAGCTCTTCTTACTCTGAGGTGATGGTTCTTGGCTGGCCAGTACTACGCCCAGCAGTGGCATTAGAAGCGCGTATCGAATTGCGGATCCGGGCCGCCGTGAAGCTAGTAATGCAATAAATCTCGACTTGGTTTAGGCGGGCATCAAAATATAACGTTCGGACTCGTTGGCGCTCTTCGGTGCTGAGCTGTTTCGTACCGCTAGAGCCCTGTGGCCGGGCCATTGCTGTGTATGTTGCTGTACCGTGTAGTAGGTTCTGTACCGTGTAGGCTGCTAAATTCTTTGATAGAAATGGCTGTTAAAGTGGAAATTCGAGTATATTCTGGTGATTTGTTAGAAACGCGTGTGCTGTTGTGACCCACAGGTACATGACAGGGGGGTTTTCTTTATGCACGCAACCACAGTAGATATGACCCATACCACCCTAAGAAACCAACAAACAAGCCAAGTCTAGGTAGTAATACAGAATTAATTATTGCCAGTAAGCAATATAGGTGTGTACCTAAGGTCCTGTCGGAAACAAGACCAGCTGCCCACTGAGCTGCGTTGCGAATAATTCCACCGCCGATCGCTGTCCTATACTGCAAAAGGGCTATCCGCCGCTCTAACGCCTGGCTATGACAGTCCCACCTTGTGAGACAAATACAGAGCGAGAGCACTTGATGTACAAATACATCATAATACTCCACAACATAACTCGGAAACCCCAACGACGTGAGCGCGCCGCGGCCAGACCAGACTAGTACCGGTCTCTAAAGACACCGTGTCTATAGACACTAGTTTATAGTTAGAACGCTTCATTGGGAGCGCTGGCGGCTCACCGATACATTATAATCCTCTACAAAAGAACTCGGAAACTCCAACGACGTGCGCGCGCCGCGGCCAGACCAGACTAGCACCGGTTCCCAAAGACACCGGGTGCAAAGACACTGTGTCCATAGTTGGGACGCTTCTCTGGGAGCGCTGGCGGCTCATCGTCATCAGATTGGGTTAAATCAATCATCCCGGGAGCTGGGCGCTTAGTTCTCGATTTGGACATTGACGGCGTACTGGAAACACCGGTTGTATGAGCCGAGGCGGGGGCTGCACCTCGGTTTGGCGTTGCTGTGCTCGTGCGATTTGACACCCCAGATATCTCTAACACGGTCAAATCGTCGCTGTCAAGGATGCTCGCCTCATTCGCTGCCGACGCTGTCTCATTCTTTGCACTCGGAACTGACCATTTCCCGTCTAGTTCGATGGTGACTTGCTCCACTGTCTTAGGAGTCTTGGCTAGGATCTCACGTATATATCTAAACCACGTCAGCTGAGAGGACCTGAAAAAGAAAAAGGCTGGACGTACTCGTCAACTGCCAGCTGGTCAAACGGGGCCGGATTGTTGCAGATGGGACAAATCCACTGCGGCCCCTGCTCTTGTAACTGCAGGTATGATGTCGCATCAAAGCACTGGATGTGACTGCAGCTAAGAGCGCGGCATGGAAGATTGAGTCTCATGTACGAGAGGGGACACTTGAGACTCAGGTTTTGCGCCGTAGCCACAACATCCGGATCGCTCGCCTTCTTGGCAACTTTTGACTGGTTAGCACAGAACTAGTTGTTTAGACGGAAAGGCTCTTTTACTCTCCGTGACGACTGATTCTTTTTGAATCTTTAGCGTGATGTTGCGAATGATGTGCTCAACAGGTTTCGCCATGCAGAGAAAGAGGCTAAGGAAAAATTTCTAGAAGACATATATTAGCCGTTTGCTCGTTCCCTACACCATGGCACCGAGCATCCAATGAGACTTTTATGGTCGAACAGGGTCACTCCTTTCTCAAACCGGCGCCTACCTCGTTCCTCATGGCGTACGTGAACTCGATGTTATTAATATACAAAGCGGGTTTTAGGCGCAGCGAGTCCGTGATATCAACCGGTCTCGTGGATCCGGGCTTGTTCTTTACGCCTCGTAGATTTGCCTTGATACGGCCTCCATTGACTTTGAGTTCCGCCTGGTCAGGGAAAGTGATGTCTTGAATGCCTCTGTTGCCGGCACTGCAGAATAACATAGCCCGCATCGTGGGGTTTGCGGTGAGCTGCTGAACCGCATAGAGGTGATCCTGCGGCTTCATCTTCATGGTCGCCTTATTCCGATACTGAGTGATCACTGCCGAGCTAGTCAGTAACAGGCAGCAAGAGATAGAATAATACCGCAAAGTTAAGCAGGCTAGAGAATAGGCGACTGCCTAATACGCACCCTCACACGTCTTGATGTCCCCGATTCTAGATAACACATCGTAGAATGGACTTGGCATGAATTGCAAAGCTTTGAAGGTCAGCATCAGTACGGGCGGGGCCGGGTTGCGGCGGGCTAGAGAGGGCTCGACTTACTTGAAAATTGGTTCGGCGAACCGGGGGCGGGAGCCTGAGAAGGCGGCTGCGGAGGGGAAGGCCGAAGGCCATTCCCCAGGGCCGTGTTGTACGCCGAGAGAGGGTAGTGAGGAGAACCTGGGAGGGCTGTCTTGTACGGCCAGAGAGGGTAGTGAGGAGAAGCTGGGAGGGTGGAGGGTGTCGGAAAGAACGGCGTCTCTTGGGGTGGCATCCGGGGCGACATCGGGGCCGGCATCGGGGGCGACATCGGGGCCGGCATCGGGGGCGGCATTGAGGGCGTCAATTGGGGTACTAAGAGGCGCGACTGGCTGGCGAGACTTTGGCTGACCTCACGGAACCGGTGAACGTCTCCGGCGCAGGTGTTTATCCCTGTTGATCGAGGGGCGTTAGCACGGAAACGTGGCATTAGCACGGGAACGTGGCGAGAAGAGCTGCGCAAGTTCGCAAACTACCGTCTAAAGAGAGAGAGAACGGAAGGGCGGAGGGGGGGGGGTTAGGAGAGAGAGAGAGAGAGAGAGAGAGTTGCCCACAGTTGATGATGCGATTCTGGAGGTCGATCTTGTTTCCGGTCTTGGGCAAACCATTCACGGAGCAGATAGACTGCAGGGTGGCTTTCTGGATGGAAGGGATCTGGACGGCGCATATTAGGCGTTGGATCTCTTGCTCCGAGGGACCGGCCATCTTCTTTAGCAGTCACAGAAATGCAAGCTAAGGTAGGTAAGGCAGGTAGGTCGTAGGTGAGTAGGTAGGTAGTAGGTGGGCAGGTCCTGGTCCGAGGCTGAGAGCGAAATGATACGAAAGGCTTCGTATCTCGTCCGAGTGCGGCAGATAGCTGTGCTTGCAGCTTGCTGAAGCTGCAGGAGAGAAAGACGGCAATTAATGCACAGACGTTCTCCCGTGCAAGCCTCGAAGAAAGCTGTTGTGTCCTCTCTGCGCCCACAGTCCCGTTATTGTTGTTGATGAGAAGCAGGAGCTGAAGCAGAAAGAGAATGCGCGCGGGGTCTTTTTAAATTAGCGCAAAGGACAGGGTGGTGGGGGGAAGGGTGGGGTTTGCCCGACAGCCAAGCACCCAATCAGCAGCTGTGCCGTTGGCTCTTGCCTGCGATGCTAGTAGCTTTTGCCTGCTGTGCCGATGGCTGTTGCTTAGGCCGTGCCAATTTCTGTCATGGTTGAACGGACAACAGTCCGGACGTGTTGGCTCTTGCTTGCTGTGCCCCGTGAACTGTCCTACCAAGGCATTGCCAGCGAAGGCAGGTACGATGGGCACGAGGAAGATGACTAAAGAGGGAGAATAATAGCCCGCTGACACGTTTTTGTGATAGAAGTTAAAGTGTCTGACTGATATCGAGTGTAGTATTCTAAGAATTGGGCAAAGACTGATGCCTGAAAAAAAGTCAATACTCGGGCTGACGGCCGTTGGCTCTTGCCTGCTGGCCAGCTCGTGAACTGTCCTACTAAGGCGTTGCCAGAAGGCATTGCCAGTGAAGGCACCTGGGATTTATAGCGAATATCTATATCGCGTTCGTGCTTTTTTATAGGGGTTGAACTATTATGAGGGCATTTGTATTTGAAATTTAGTCATCAAGTCACGGATAAACGTTTACACATGTTTTTGGACTCGAGTCACCGATGAACGTTTGCAGTGTTTGTTGACTCGAGGATGTTAACCTCGATTGTTGACTTGAGAGTGTTGACCCCGATTGTTGCTGGGCTCGTGGTTTGTCTATCGCCCCAGTTCGTTTGCATCTAATTGTATCGCGTATCTAGTTGAACGAGTTTCTTTTAGCTCGTATAACAAGAGATAGACAATTATCGCCACGCAGATAAGCCGCAGCAACCGCTCGCGCCTAGCCACCAGCCCACACAGCAGCCTACGACACGCAGACGAGGCAACAACGAGGCAACACGCCCGACGAAAGCTAGGCTACGCAGTCAAGCCGCAACAACAGCGTGCGCCCAGCCAAGTCCAATAACCCGCCAACACAGCAGCTGAGCGACAACAAGTCAATAGCCTGACGGGAATGGGCATGACTTGGTGGGCTGGCGGCACGCGACGGTGGGACGCCCAATTGCTCGCAAGTGGCACCACGATGGTGGAAAGAATGTCTACGAGACTACTCTATTACAAACCACTCGACTGTTAGAGTCGTCTGTCTGTAAGGGAGCACGGGCTCCACAGGATGCTGGGGTTGGTAATTATGAAGATAGAACAAAGGGCAAGCTCCTATCGCACGGGTAATACAGTCAAATTGGAATGCCACTCAAAGTGTATGAGTGCAGTGAATGTGTATTGCTTGCTTGAAGAACCAAGCAAGAGCTATCTAAGACCGTGGCTACGGTCGTCGTATATATCTATCTAAGGCGGACCAATCAGGGTTCTCCCTTACAGTGCTCAGGGCCTCCGGGGCGCTCAGTCTTCAAGGACGACTGAGCTCTCAATGGTAACTGAGCACTTTCCTGATTTGCTGTTCTTTCTGCTCAGTGGGTCTTCCCAGTCTTGGCACCCGAACGCACTGAGCGCCGCCTGATTGGCCGCACCAAGCTCATGTGGGGCCCGTCCTGCCCGCCAGTGCTGCCAATCAGCAGTCGGCTTCCAGCGCCTCCTGCAGACTTGAGCCAGGATCGTAACATACTCCTGTGCCGGGTGGATATTGTTATTTCGGTACCTGCTAAGACAATTTTTGCCACTATCAAGCGCTAAGGCCTCTACAATAAACAAAGGTCTTTGGGCGCATTATCATGTTAGAAGATCAGATTTCTGCCGTTACGGTGGTAGAAGTTGATGATAAGGGGTACAACATGCGAGATATAGTTGTATTACAAACCACTCGACTGTCAGGGTCGTCTTGTCTGTAAGGGAGCACGGGCTCCACAGAATGCTGGGGTTGGTAATTATGAAGATAGAACAAAGGGCAAGCTCCTATCGCACGGGTAATACAGTCAAATCGGAATGCCACTCAAAGTGTATGAGTGCAGTGAATGTGTATTGCTTGCTTGAAGAACCAAGCAAGAACTATCTAGGACCGTGGCTACGGTCGTCGTATATATCTATCTAAGGCGGACCAATCAGAGCGTTGGTCCTAGGTGATCAGTGCGGTCAGTGTGCTCAGTGCGATCAGTTCCCACTGATCGCCCTGATCATACTGATCGCGCTGACCGCCACGCTATTGGCTGCACTCCCGTGAAGCGGGGAACTACCCCGCTTCTTTGCGCCAGCCAATAGCAGGAGGCTCCGTGCAGCCTCCTGCGAGCCTGAACCAGGATCGTAACAAGTTGGTTGCGTCGATGCCGCCGTATTCCCTTTCCCAAATGAAAGATGGCCCTTTTCTCCGCTTAGCAAAGGATTCCCAAAACATCTAGCCTTCGGCTTCCTCTTTTTCAGTACCCAATCTCGTATATCATCGTATTACAAACCACTCGACTGTTAGAGTCGTCTGTCTGTAAGGGAGCACGGGCTCTACAGGATGCTGGGGTTGGTAATTATGAAGATAGAACAAGGGGCAAGCTGCTACCGCACGGGTAATACAGTCAAATCGGAATGCCACTCAAAGTATATGAGTGCAGTGAATGTGTATTGCTTACTTGAAGAACTAAGCAAGAACTATCTAAGACCGTGGCTACGGCCGTCGTATATATCTTTCTAAGGTGGGCTAATTAGGTCGTTGCTCTGTTGCTCTGTGGCAGAGTGTCACGAATCCCTGTTCGTACTGGTTGGGAAGCAGGGCAGGGGTGGCTGGACCCGCCTCGGCTAGTCACGTTAAAGGAGGGGCTTGGACCCACAGTTGCTCTGTTCGGTGGAGAACAGAGCAGAAGGACCCGCATTTGCTCTGCACGGTGGAGTACAGAGCAACAGTTTGGTTGGCTGCTCTGTAGCTCTGTCGGAGAGCAACAGAGCAATGCTCTGTAGCTCTGTCAGAGAGCAACAGAGCAACGCTCCAATTGGCCCAGCTTAGATAGATATATACGATGACCGTGGCACCGGTCTTAGGTAGTTCTTGCTTGGTTCTTCAAGCAAGCAATACACATTCACTGCACTCATACACTTTGAGTGGCATTCCGATTTGACTGTATTACCCGTGCGATAGGAGCTTGCCCTTTGTTCTATCTTCATAATTACCAACCCCAGCATTCTGTGGAGCCTGTGCTCCCTTACAGACAGACGACCCTGACAGTCGAGTGGTTTGTAATACAGAGCTACGGAGCAACCCCGTAGAGCCAACCAAACTGTTGCTCTGTACCCCACCGCACAGAGCAAATGCGGGTCTCTGCTCCGCATGCCTGTCTCGTCATTCCTATTGGCCAGCCTTACTTTCAGAGCTATGACTAGCCCAGAATGGGCGCGGTTCATCACACCGACTGTCACGGTTGGCACTAGCGCCAAGACCCCTCCACGTATTTAAGCTGAGTACTAGCCCCGATTGGGACTAGTTGCACGTGACTTCCCGCAAGCCCTAGCCCACTTAACTCCGCGGCTAAAACTGCACCTTTGTAGATTTTCTTCTTTTCTTCTTCACCTTAGAATCCTTAGACTATGGTATAGCTATATCAGCGATTCTTTTCCTTCTTGCTATTGACCGCTGTCACACCGACATCCCGACATCTAAGCCAAAGTAGGCAAGAGAATGGAAGCCGCTCGTTTTAACGAGTTCACTCCCAAAGCCGCCAACTGGTATTTTGATATCAGAGAGAAAGAATACAACTGGATCAGGCTGGAGCTCACCTTCAACCTCGATAAGGCCGGCATGATGGTGGGCTTTGGTAAGAATATAACATCTATTATATACCATTTATTACTCATACTATACAGAGCTTGATTCATCAGTCTTAAGAGACCTCATAGACGAAGAAAGCATATCTAAAAGCAACTAAGGCTGTGGCTAGTCCACCATATTCGAAGGCATTAGTGCCGGGGGTCTTGCCCCTGATCCAGGGATTATTTTAAAGAAAAAGACCTTCAAACATCCTGGTTTAAACAGGAGATGCAGCAAGCTCCTGAGCCTTGGCGAGCGCCAGCCGGTCCATCAAGCGTGCCGATAGCGTACGTCGCATCAGACTCTGGCACCGCCAACCTCCCAATTCCTCCTTTCAACCACCCATCTGGGGCGAGCGAGTTATCATGCATGGCCTCTGCATGAAGCGCGGGAAGCCACCTCATACTCTCCGAACCCAAACTTGAAGGACAAGAAAGCCAAAGACAGTAACAACTCACGCCTGGGGACTAGTAGCCTATACAAAAAGCTGCGCTCTTCCACGGCGCCCACGGTGCCCCTATCAGCGGCATCTCGGGAACGCCAGAGCTGGGCACGTATTTAATTGTCACTTCTAGCCGGTCACTACGTACGGCGACATGGACGAGGACCACGGCGACGTCCTCTACTACAGCGGCGACCAGAGCACTGACAATGTCAACCCCACCCGTATCATTATAACCAGCAGCCGCACACAGAGCCTAGAGAAATCCATGCAGACGCAGATTCCTCTTCCTCGGCTACGGCAGCGGCAGCATCAATATGCCTAGCAATCCAGAAGCGCAATTCCATCGATTACTCTTCTTCGGCTGCGGCAGCGGCAATATTAATATGCCTAGCAATCCAGAAGCGCAATTCCATCGATTCCTCTTCCTCGGCTGCGGCAGCTGCACGTACAGGTTGCCCAAGAATTGCTGTGTAATCTTGTCGAGCCTATAGTTCCGTACTGTGTAATCTTGTCGAGCCTACAGTTCCGTAGTTCCGTACTATGCAATCTTGTCGAGCTTACAATTTCGTGCTATGCAATCTTGTCGAGCCTACAGTTCCGTGCTGTGCAATCTTGTAAGGAAACCACCCGCGTGGCCACCACGTACTACCGCCACTAGGGCCACGCACCACCGCTACTAGGGCCACGCACCACCGCCACTAAGGCCACGTACTATCGCCACTAGGGCTACGCACCACCGCCACCAGGGCCACGCAAGGATGACTCATAACCCCTTTATGTATATTAGACCATAGCCCTTGCATATCTCTTTAGCTTAGGCCAGGTTGAAGTCTCACGCCAATACCAGTCATTGCTGAGCTTACTTGCTTCTATTGTGTCACGACCAGGGCAAGGCATTGACGTTAACTCAGTCCATTGGGTGCTATCGACGAAGATTCTAAACTGAGGAGGGAAAGAAGGAAAAGTCCGACAACGCGTCGCGTGCTCGCGAATAAGTTTTCATCTATCAGTGGGGTAGGTGGGGCCTCGAGGAGGCTTCTGATAGGCCCGGGGGTTCTGGGCGGCTCTGGCTGCTTGAGGGCCAGTTTGATGGACGGGTCCTCACAGAAATTCAGGATGGACCGGCGGTTCTGCGCTACGCAGGCACATTCGAAGGAAGCTGCGGGACCTCGTCGCCGTCGGAATCCTCCATTTTCTATCGATGAGATTAGTACCAATTGAAAGCGCGCTTTCCAGCGATCAAAATGATACATACAACGTGTATTTGTACCTTGATTTAGTGGTGTTATTCGTATGCGCGTAATTGACCGACTTGATCCATAACTCGAAGTGGGAAAAATCGAGAATTGATCTCAGACGTGTGGTGGCCCTGATCCCGTTGCTCGAGTATAAAAAATCCTATTGGTTGAAATTTATTCAAAAAGCGGGTCTATTGATCTATTCCTAATTGGGATCGACCCCCCCCCCCTTCCCGCCAACACACGTCTTGAGTTTACTGAGATAAGGTACGGGTTCCTTCCCATCATACGGCGTGTGCATCATGGCCTGGCGCCTCCATCTCTCTCACTTTCCACCATTTCCCACCATTTCTCAACGGGTGCGCCCTCTATCCAGCAACCTAGATTTTGTTGAGGAAACTTTGTCGTCCCGTGGTTGCCCGTACCGACCGACACCCAACTTCGAAGGAACGATGCTGCCCGACTCGTGTCAGACGGGTAGGTACGTATGTCTACATATAGCACTGGCAGCCACACGTTTATTAGGCAGGTACGTGCGTAGGACAACGCGGTTTAACCCTTCTCGGTGCGAGCCAAGTCGGCGCGGCTCTTCCTGGCATTCCTCCAGCCGACGCGCGGTCCGGGGCATGAAGATGACTACGAAATTGCTGCCGCGGTCAGCGGAGCCAAGCGCGATTCACGTCGAGTTCAGCCTCCTGCAATGGACCGACTGGTGCATAGTTGCTGACATGGGTTCTATCTTGGATTGTCTTACAAGGAGGCCGCTTACTATCCTTGAGCTCCAGCAAGCCCTGGGGTTGGAAGTCGGGGCTTCCGACCTGGACCAAGACAACTTAGACAACATCACCAGAGTCTGAACAACGTAGCTTGCTGATTGACGACGGCCCCAAAATTTGCACGCGTCTAGACTCAACCCACGGTCTCATAACAGGTACGCAGGCGCTCGCGCGGTCTGGACTTTTCGCGGTGGCCACAAGCCTGCACCACTCCACCGTTGCCGACTAAGCGTCGCCCGGCTCGTTGCCGACCATCGGCACCAAGTTCTCGCCCACCGACAGTCTTTCTTACAAGGTGTCCCCCATTCTTCCATCCCGGACAATATGTACTCTAGGATCAAGTACACCATGGACCAAGTGGCTCATCATGCTCAACAAGACAAAGGAAACAAAACAAAGGATCAAGTCAGCCACTTCCCGAGATGCAAGATGCCATTTACAGGCGCATCTACTAACGAACTTGACCATTAGTGGACAGTAACGTATACGGCGGGTTTGGCTCAGCCTGGGCTTTGGCACCCAGCAACTCAGACAACTCCTCACCGTTGAGGCAAGTTTCGCCTCCGAAATGCTCGACATGGCCAACGACGGAAGGAATCTCGGTAACCGGGTCATCGAGTGTTGTTGCCAGCGGTTCGTCCAAAGAGCCCTCCCCGAGAGCTCTCCCCGAGAACTTGCTCATTACTGATGGACTTTTCGAGGACAGCCTCGTGGACAGTGTCAATCTGGTCTACAGGAGCCGTGGACCTTGGCGGCGCAGGTACGGCGGGATGCCGGCGCGCTCGACGAGCTTCTCGCACTCGGCGAGCGAGCGAGCGAGCCTGAGTCGACCCACACGGCGAGCGAGCCCGAGTTTACCTACAAGGCGCCGAGGACGGCCTCAAACATGTCCGAGAAGAACTTCTGCGCCTGCAGCTATTTAGAGTGAATTTTTAAGAAAATGGAACCTAAGAGCAGCGTTGCACATATACAATTACACACTAGACGGGATGGGACAGACATGGGAAGGCCTCGGCGCCGAAGCAATCGGCATATTTGGGGTCCGTTCTGGCAAATTGCTGGAGCACCGCCTGCGAGGCTGGCAGGCCGTCATCGCTCCAACTTGACGGCCAGCCTGAAGTACCGGTTGCAAGACTTGGCGTCCACGGCAGGGCCAAGCCGAGACCAGATGCTCGGGCTGCTTTGAGGGTCAGTGAGGATGGCAAATTCAGGATTCTCCCATCAATAAGTGCCGTGTTCGCTATGGCGGGTAAGCGAGCAGCTCTCACCCACGGACACGACCCCGTTACTTTGGTCTGTCTGTTTAACCAACGCACCTCTCGGGGGAGAATGGTTGCTACGACGTCTGCGACAAGGCCGCCAGGCGCATTCACTTTGCTACACGCCGCCAGGCGCATTACTTTGCTACACGCCTGCTTCGGGCTGTCGGTTCTTCGGAACGGCATCCCGCGGGGTAGTGATAGAGGGCGCGGCACTGGCTTCCTACGATCATGCTCGTCATTTCTTACCGTAGTGTCTGGGGTACACTTTGTGCAGTTTGCCCCCGAGAGCGGCTGTAACCTACCATGTGATGAGGCTCGGCTGTGGCCACTCCTGCAATGGAAGGTGCCGTTCGGAAATTCTACACAACGCTGTCAAGTGCCTTGAGGATTGTCCACGCTCCAAGAAGGGCTGTAAACATACTGTCCGCTACGGTGCGGCGACGTGTGCCACAAAAATGCCAGAAGCTCTTGGGCAACCGGCCGGATGTACAGGCTACGAATGTGGAGGCTAAGGATGTGGAGGCTACGAATCTGGAGGCTACGGATGCTAGCGAGGTTCAGAAGTGCACTTCCCTTCGATGGCGCTCGCCCAGAAGGTAGTCACTGGCAGTTCTGTGCTTGGCGCTCTTGCGGGAACAGTGTCACTTGCTCTTTCCGCTGCTTCTTGTTCGAAAATGTAGTAGTAGCAGAGCCAAGGGAGAGAAGGGGACCATTTGTCTGCCATGCTCCTAGCCAAGTTGTGTTACGGAATGTTAGAACAAGTAGCTAATTAACAGATTGTGCTCTCGTTCTAAGCTCCGTCTCCCCGACTAAAGCTTAGATATAATCTCCCTATGGCCGAGAGCCGCTTCTTTCGCCGCCTCCAGCTGGCTTGCTGTGGTACCTGGGGTCGATGTAGCTGTCGCCTGCTGGTGTTGAGAGGGCGGGCCGAAAAAGCAAAGCGCAAGAACGATGACTGCCGGCAAGTTCGCGGATCTTTGTCGTGCGTGGGTTGTCGATGTAGCTGTCGTCTGCTGGTGTTGAGAGGGCCGAGCTGAAAAATCAAACCGCAAGAATGATGACTGGCAAGTTCGCGAATCCTTATCGTGCCTGGGGTTCTGTGTCGATCTAGTCTCGGTTAATAGCGATGGGAGAAGACGAGCTCCCGTCGATTAGCGCTCAGGAAACCGCCCCGTCCGGTATTTGATGCCCTGAAAATAGCGCAAAGGAAACACAGTTCAGGGGCAGGGCCAGTAGAACAGGGAGCCGAGTGCCGAGCCGCAACGCAAGCCGCACCATAAGACGAGCGCATTGGAGAAGGGGTTGATGAAGTTGTAGCACGGCTGCCATTCAAGCTCAACGAGAGACAGAGAGGTGTTGGTGTGACAGCACGGCCAAACTATGGTCGTGGTGCCGCAACTATGCCCTGGCTGCTGGTCCCACACTGCAGCGCTACTATTCCTAGCCCTGGCTGCAGGCTTTACCCTGGAGCCCTACGCTCCCAAATCGATCCCCCCTTTCCCCATTCGGACTAGCCCAATTGCCCCTCTCCCTACCACAACTACGGCCTGCAGGAACCGCAGGCTTCTTATTTTCCTTTTCCTTTCCTTGGCTTAGTTATTTACGAATTCAGTAATCACGAATTCAATCATTCCTTACTCCTCACGAACCCATTTTCAGGACGACGAGAGCCCACGCGCAATTCACAGAGAAGTCATTATACAACCAACCATACGCCTCCCCAGGCTACGAACAATTCCTTCCCAGGCTACGAACAATTCCTCCCTAGGCCACGAACAATTCCTCTCCCCCCCGTAGCGATGGCCTCGCCAACAGATTCGATACTGCCTGGTACTTGGTGGTCTGGCATCGTCATTCAGAACCCGACCGTTCTCAGCTTGCCTGCTCTCGGCCAGGCACCGCCCGGAAGCAGGTTCATCCTCAGCCGAATCGACGACCGAGAGAATCCCGCCTTTACCCGATATCCCGAAGCGACACACGAAGCGACAGCAAATCTTCGCTACATCCTGTCGTTGCTCTACTACCACTGGACAGACGATGACCAGCTATACCAAGAGCACAGCAACCTGAAAAACAAGCTTGGGGGCTTTTCTGACGCGGCGACGCTGGTTCAACGGTGGCCGCCACACGTCGATCTCGTGCGGCAGAGGTTTCTGTCCGCGACGGAGGCCCTACGCGCCGCCATCTCCAGCATGGCGGCTGGAACCCCCGCCGAGACTGCCGAGTCATGGGGCCGTTTCGCAGCAGCCGCTATATCTGTTTTGACGCTGTACGGCGAGATGTTGGAGGGAATGAACGAGAAAGAGGGGGGTTTGACTCGTCTGATCTCATTCAGAAACTGGAAAGCTCCGAAGGCTGGGAAACTGGCCTCCCCGACGGGCAAAATGACCATCGTGGTAGAAGAGTCGGAAGCAGAGTCGGCGGCAAGTGCCGACATAACGGCGGCTTTGGCGATCCCGACGCTTCAGTAAGACGACACCCAAGCAAAGGCAGACCCTTCAATAAGACAACACCCAAGCAAAAGCAGACCATACGACTGATGGAGCAGCACCGAAGCAGCAGGAAGAGGCTTACGGCAAGCCCAGATGCAGAGGCGGTCCTACGGCCCATCTCTTGAAATTCGACATGGGAAAGGGCAGCAGCACAGGCGCGAACAAAGGTAGAATAAAAAGAGGAACGACGGTGTACAAGATAGCTCGGGCGGGTCTCCAAGGGTACGTGGACGACAGGAAAGTTTATATCAAAAACCTGCACCGAATCCTGCACCGAATCCTGCTCTGTGAAAAACTTACTACGTTGGTGTGAGACAGGGGATGGGACAAGAGATGATGAACTACGACCTGCCGGAGCACGCTGGCAGTTGTGACATGTTTTCTCCGTGATAAGCTTGCAACGCTGCGCCTGTCTGCACTAGCTAACTATGCACCCCGACATTTTACGTCATAGTCGTACACCATCCTCTCCACCACAACTTTGGCTCGATAACGAGAAAGGTCGCGAGCTATATAGTAGCGTGCCCCGAATGCCTGGAAAACGCAACTAGCCGGCAAAAGCCTGTGGGCGAGCTTATGCCGATTGACGTCGTCCCACACCTAGGATATACAATTTCGATCGACTTCGTCACCGGACTACTAGAAGTCCACAAGTCCAAAAGTCCACAAGTCTAAACTATAGGCAGTACTAGCACGAGGATTTAACTGTTTTACAACTATTGGAGGGCACTTCGAAAAGCGAACTATCATTATGCTAGGCAACGAGACGTGGACGGCTAAACAGTGGGGAGAGCGTTTACTCACCTATCTACAGCTGTGCGATTGGGGCCTACCAGAGTCACCTGGCGAGGCGGCAAGTCAACAATCGAGTATTTCATCAAATGGAAAGGGTACCGAAACCAGTTCGATAGCTGGTACCCTAGAAACACATGGAGAGAAACAGCGTCGGACCTCGTCACGAAATTTGAGCATGACAACCCAATACAGCCAGAGGAGCTCAAGCCACCACGCGCCGGTAAGGCAAAAACCTCTTAACCAAGACTGACGACAACGAGTCAGACTTCCCTAACGACCTTACCAAAGACGAAGATGAGGACGAGGACAACGACCAGAAAATGAACATGATAGAGACGAACAAAACAAGACCAATCGATGAGATCGTTTTGGAGTTCCCATTAAGGGACAGCAAAGAAGCTATCGTAGGACCTGCCTGAGGGCAGGCAGGAATCTTGAAAGAAAGGCAGATGTTACAATGTTGCGTAATTAGTGCACGGCCCTACCACAATCATTTGGGCCCTCGTAGGGCACCCTGGCTTCTTAAACAAATCATCTTCTTTTCTACTCTCATTTCACGCTAGCATTAGCCACAACAGAAGAAGCCAATCGGATGTTGGCCGGACGTGGCCGGGTTCAAGTACGCAGGCTGCTTCAAGACGGATAGACGCGGACACAGCGGCGAGATCCGCCCCAGCTTGGGCAAGATCAGCAATACCAAGTGCGTCACGTATTGCACGTCTAAGGGCTTCAAGGTAGCGGGAACCAAGTACGGCGGCCAATGCTACTGCGGTAACCCTCACAAAAAAAAGCCAATATCCGGCAGAAACACAAAAAGTTAAGTCAAAGATTGAATGTAGTGACGAATGTGGATTTGTAGCCAAGGAAGGAAAAGAGGAAGCTATTGCAGGGACCGCGCCCTCGCGGGGAAATAGGGCCAAGAGATTGCCAGCCGTAGCGATGCATCTGGTTTGTGGCTGCTCAGCGGCAGTGTGGCTGGGACCGCAGGGATCAGATCGGAACCCGGCCTACTGCGCCTGAACCAAGGAATGAGTGGATCGGGCATCCACCATCAGGCCATCATTTCCACAATATATTCCAGCGTGGAAATTCTTCCTTCAGGCAATCCAGTCAATTTCTTCAAGTGAACAGGTTATGAGTCTTGTCGCTCTAACTTGAAGCTATTCCCGCTTTTGTTACACACACATTCTGCTTCCCTCTCGACCCTGCAGCACATGCTGCCTACACACACATTTTGCTTCCTTTCTCGACCCTGCAGCACATGCTGCCACCGGAATTACCGATGCCCGGAGCTGCACGACCAACAACGGCCCTTCTCTCGCCTGTCAGCTCCGGAAGGTCCACACGCATCCTCTACTCCCTCGCACCCTCCACGTCCCTCGCACCCTCTACGTCCCTCGCAACGGCTAAAGTCACGGTCCCCGTGTTGAGGGCGACGAGAACTTGGTCGCCTAAAAAGCAGCCATTCGCAACGCTCTCAGCCTACAACACCTTTAAAAACCTCTGCAGAATCCTCCACAGTAGGCTCTCTCGCACCGCGGCACCAACAGCAGGCATATCTCTTAGCCTTTAGAACTCGACAACCTCTCTAGAATCCTCCACAGCACGCTTTCTCGCACCCCGGCACCAACGGCAACATGCTCTCTCAGCTTACAGCAGGCTCTCTCGCACCCCGGCAGGCATGCTCCCTTAGCCTTCAACCTCTGCAGAGCCTCTACAGCTCCCGCCACCCCGACATTCGCCCTCGACTCGGCAGAATACCTGACCGGTATGCAGGCCGCTGCACAGCTGGAATCATCATGGCTACCCTCACCGACCCAGTTGGTCACAAGCTGAAGAAGACCCAAACACTACATACGAATTAGTCTGCCGCACAATACCAAGCAGGCAAAGTCTCACGCCGTGAACTTGTACGCAAATTTTCTGTAAGAGAAGGCAGGTACGCCTGATCAAGGTGGTCACAATAGGAGCAACAAGCAGGGCGAGCAATGACTGGTATTGGCGTAAGACTTCAACCTGGCCTGAGCTAAAGAGGTGTGCGAAGGCCATGGTCTATATACACGTGAAAGGGGTTACGAGTCATCCTTGCGTAGCCAGGGTGGTAGTGGCGATAGTGCGTGGCCCTGTTAGCGGTGGCGATAGTGGCGACGGTGGCGAGGGTGGCCCTGGTGGCGGTGGCCATGGTGGTTACGAGGGTGGTTTCCTTACATTTTCCTCCTACGTCGTGAGAACTTGAGAGCATGTTCAGCTGATCAACAAGCTACAGCTCAAAGACCAAATCTAAGCACAGCTCTTCAAAGACCAGATCTAAGTACAGCTCCTCAAAGACCAAATTCCGGCCACGAGCATCAACATCGGCGATGAGCATGCCCTCCAGAATGCCCTCAGCTCTGTTAAAGATGTATACCTCACCGAACCGTGTTGCGGGAGTACCTGAGAATGTTCTTACAGCCTCGCTCGCCTCTCTCCTTCGAGGAGAAGCCAACGATGACGGGAACTCCGGGTCTCCTCCAGCCTCTCAACCAACAACCCCTCCCAGCTTGCCATAGCTACCCTCGAACATATGGAGCAAGAAAGAGAGGGACAAAGAACAGTACAGCAATGCCAAAGCAAGATGCGAAGAGTTGGAAACATCACAAGGAAACAAGGGCGGCCGAAGAGTTGGAATATCACAAGGAAATAAGGGCGGCCGAAGAGTTGAAAGATCACAAAGAAATAAGGGCGGCCGAAGAGTTGGAAATATCACAAGGAAACAAGGGCGGCAGGGAGAACAATGCAGCCAATACCAGATCAAGATACGAAGAGTTGGAAACTGTGAGGGCCTGGTCCTCCAGGCCTCCCAGACGCTCTGACTAATCAGACGCCAGCCGGGTGGATCCACCCGACCAGCCAGAGGGATCCACCCAACTGACTAATGGAAGCTCGGCTAAAGCCCCACCTTGAGACGCCTTGGAAGAATCTCGCGAGGGGAGGCTTTTGAGCTTCTTTTCCCTTTTCCCTTTAGTTTAGAATCTTCGTCGATAGCGCCCAATAGAGGAGTTCCGCCCTCATTCCAAGCCGGCCGTGACACAATACACATTCACTGCACTCATACACTTTGAGTGGCATTCTGATTTGACTGTATTACCTGTGCGATAGGAGCTTGCCCTTTGTTCTATGTTCATAATTACCAACCCCAGTATTCTGTGGAGCCCGTGCTTCCTCACAGACAGACGACCCTAACAGTCGAGTGGTTTGTAATAGAAACCACCCTTGTAGCCACCATGGCCACCGCCACCAGGGCCACCCTGGCCACGCAACGATGACTCGTAACCCCTTTCACGTGTATATAGACCATGGCCTTCGCACACCTTTTCAGCTCAGGCCAGGTTGAGGTCTTACGCCAATACCAGTCATTGCTCGCCCTGCTTGTTGCTCCTATTGTGACCACCTTGATTAAGCGTACCTGCCTTCTCTTACAGACAGGCATTCCACCGCATACGGATACATCCAGACGACGAGCAACTGACGACTTTCCGGACCCGGTACGGCACATATAGCTATAAAGTTATGCCGTTCGGATTGACAAACGGACCAGCTACCTTTCAACGGTTCATTATTGACTGCTTACTCGGCTTCCTAGACGACTTTTGCAGCGCATACTGGGACGATATCCTAATCTACTCTGCGACCAAGGAAGAACATACCAAGCACGTTCAACTGGTATTACAACGGTTGGGAGAAGCTGGGCTCTAAGCAGATATTGAGAAGTGCGAATTCCACGTACGGGAAACCAAATATCTCGGGTTTATTATCAGAGTAGATGGGGTATCTGTGAGGACCCGTCCACCAAACTGGCCCTCAAGCAGCCAGAGCCGCCCAGAACCCCGGGCCTATCAGAAGCCGCCTCGAGGCCCCACCTACCCCACTGATAGATGAAAACTTATTCGCGAGCACGCGACGCGTTGTTGGACTTTTCCTTCTTTCCCTCCTCAGTTTAGAATCTTCGTCAATAGCACCCAATGGACTGAGTTCACCTCAATGCCTTGCCCTGGTCGTGACAGTATCCGTAGACCCAGCAAAGACGGACATCGTCAGAGATTGGCCGGAACCAGACACATTGAAAGGAGTGCAATCATTCCTCGGGTTCTGCAACTTCTACCGGCGATTTGTGAAGGGGTATAGCAGGATAGCCAAGCCGCTAACAGCCTTAGCCAAAAAAGGCGAGGGATTTAGATGGACGGACGAATGCCAGATTGCATTCGACGAGCTTAAGGCACGACTGTTGTCAGAACCCGTGCTAAAATACTTCGAGTACGGAAGAGAAACCCGGGTGAAAACTGACGCACCGGGAGGGGTGGCGGCAGGCGTACTGAGCCAGAAGTACGAGGATGGATGGCACCCGGTAGCCTTCTTTTCTGAGATGATGAAGGGAGCAGAGCTCAACTACTTTATCCATGATAAGGAACTGCTAGCTATTATGAGGGCCTTACAGCACTGGCGTAGCGAACTAATTGGACTCCAAACCGAGCAGCCGTTTATCGTCTTTTCCGATAACAATGCACTGAAATACTTTACTACGAAGAAGCTGTGTTACAATCTAGACAACAGGTCTACGGAGCTAGGCCCGGCCTAGGATTGTGGGGGTCTGGACGGCAGGTAGGAGATGACAGGAGACAAGGAGCATCGTGCACAGATTGCGAAAGACAGGCTTTCAACACACAACCAATGTATGCTTAACCAGATGCATTGATAGCTGCAGAACCGTTCTCCAGAGAGAGCGTGCTGCCAGCTCCTATATAGAACTATGAGCAACTAATCAGAGTTCCTGCCTTACATGCTCCGTCGTGCTCAGTCCTAGACGCACTGATCCCGACTGAGCTCCCTGCTCAGTGCGCTCAGTGGGTCTCGGCACTGATCCTACTGAGCTCAGCCATGCTCAGTGCACCTTGGCAATGGCCCCACTGAGCACTCCCTAATTGGATGCACCTTCCCTTAGCGAGAGCCCCACCCTAAGTGCCGTTCCAGCCAATCTGCAGCGGGCGGGCAACGCCCTCTGCACCTTTGAACCAGGATCGTAACAAAACTTGTCTGCCTCAGTGAACTTGTCCTGTGGATGAAGACTTGAAAAGTAAACTCTTCTCAGCAAGTACTTCTCAGCGAACACTTTACTTAGTAAGTGTCTATAGAGGGGCTCGTGCTTACCTTGGCGGGGAGCTGACGTGGCATGGCAAGGCAAAGTCCATAGCTGGAGCAGGTGCGGCAGCGAGCAACTTTACATCTCCAGGGCAGATGGGCTCGCGCTTGCCTTAGTGAGGAACTTGTGTGCTATTCAGCGTACTGCTCAGCACAACTTTGTGCTACTCGGCAAAAAACTCATATTCAGCAAAAAACTTATCTACTCAACAAAAGACTATACTCAGCAAAAGACCTTATTCAGTAAGTGCTACTCGTGTACTGCTCAGCACAGCTTTGTGCTACTCTTCTCGGCAAGTACTTTTAGCAGGAAACCTTATTCGGTAAACTTGTCCTATAGAGGAAGATTTGAAAGATCCACAGCTGAGATCAAGTGCTGGTAGCGAATACTTTATTTAATAAGAGGGCTCGCGCTTGCCTTAGACCCCAGAAACGTGGCAAAGTCCACAGCCAGAGCGGGTGCGGCGAACATCTTTACGTCTACAGGGTAGAGGGGCTCGCGCTTGCCTCGGCGGGAAACTTGTGTTCAGCAAACAACTTGTGTGTTACTCAGCATATTACTCAGCACAACTTTGTGCTACTCTTCTCGGCAAGTACTTCAGGGTTAGGGCCAGCAAACATATCCTGTAGAGGAAGATTTGAAAGTACTACTCTTCTCAGCAAGTTTAGTGCCACTAGGCGTTGTGGCAAAACTTCGGCAATTTTGCGCTGCCTGGGCAATGTGGGCGAAAGTGCCACACGCACTAGGCTTCAGGCTTCGTCGATCGGGAACCAATGTGGAAGCGGAGGAACTCGACCTTTTGGTGGGATGACTGCATTGGGAAGACTCGCGGAGGCGATGGTCTGGATAGTGGAAGCCATAACTTGTCAGCAAAAGACAAGTGTCTACAGGGGAGCGCGCTTGCCTTAGCCCCAGAAACGTGGCAAAGTCCGCAGCCGAAGCGGGTGCGGCAGCAAACAACTTTACAGGGCAGAGCCGCTCAAGCTAACCTTAGTGGAGCCAGAAAGAAAAAAGTATAGCCGAGAGGGGCGGCAACAAACAACTTTACTCTTCTCAGCAAGTACTTTTCAGGGAATGATTTTGTACTTGAGCAAAAACTTGTGTTCAGCAAACAACTTATGTGCCACTCAGCGTACTGCTCAGCACAACTTTGTGCTACGCGGCAAAAAACTCATATTCAGCAAAAAGCTTATCTACTACTCAGCAAAAGACTTATACTTGTCAGAAAGAAGGAGGTTCGGGCACGCAGTGCCAGAACACCAAGTGGTGAGGTTAACTAAGCTGAAAAAGTACTTATGGAAGCTGAAAAAGAGCTCATGCAAGCTGAACTTTACGTAGTCAGTTCAGCTAGCAACGACTACTGTTTGTCACCATTCATAACTATAATAGAGGTTCTCTGACTGAGCCAAAGAGCACGGGAAGAGGAGAGATCTCAATGAAAATCACTTTGAACTCTATCTTTTCCACCGAATCCAGTGTGCAGTGCAGTGTGCATTACTTCTGACAACACTCAGTAAAAAACTTGTATTTAGCAAAAACCTTGTACTACTGATGTACTGCTCAGCACAACTTTGTGCTTCTCTTCTCGGCAAGTACTTTCAGCAAAAAACTTTACTCGGCAAACTTATTCTGTCCGAAGGACAATATTACTGTCAAACTTTCCAAAATTCCCATACAAAATTAATGAGGAAACTGATAAGAAAGTGTGGGGCCTAATTCCGTACGCGGATTGGCTGACGGGAGGCCAGAGACTTAGCCAAGACCAGCCACAGCTGACAAAACCAGCTAACTGGCCCCAAAATCAATGCACCCAGTACCATTGCGTGCATAACGGTAAGGCAATTCCAGATCTGATGTCAGATTTTAAATAGAATTGGTTTTGGTTGAGATGCAAGCGTTTAAATACTAGGGCGGGTAGTGGTACATGGAGAAGGGGAGATGCACGTGACTACGTGCATGTGCGGCACGTGCGGCAATATCGTTTCTTGTGCCCCGGGTTGAATTTCCTTACCCCACCACAATACTTTTCCTCCTTCAACAATTAGTTGTGTTGCAGTGCCTTGATAAATCTTGCAGGCTTCTTATTCTTTACAACCAACCTTATTCCGACCGTGGTACAGCTTTGCCCGTTATGGCCGGGCTATTCAGTATCCATGGCGGACGCTTCTACGGCAGCTGCCCGTCAAGTCTGTCACTCCTGCAGCATCGAGAAACCTCTTGATCAATTCCGGTCCTTCTGAGGGCCTCGCTGGACCGTTGTCGATTGTGCAGATTGCCGGAACCGCAAAAAGGCGCAGGTAATGTCACTTGTTCTGTTATTATTGTTCTTCCATTTACTAATTTAATACCTAAAGAGAGGGATCAATTTCCAGAATCTAATTGGCTGCTGCAGCTGCCCGAGGGGATAGCCTTAACCCACCTCCTGCCCCTGTGCCTCGGCAAAATCGCACCCATCGCTTCTTTCTGTGCGGTACCACGAAGGCGTAGCCATGCTCATGGTCTGTACTGGTTCGATAAAAGCCCAGATCTAGATATGTCGACGCAAGAGTCACGAGATCGCTTTGCCAAGGTCTGGGGATACCACATTACGGCTATGAACCCACAGAGAGGCCAGGGTGCTGATGAGAGTAAACCCCTATCTGTTAACCCTCTCGAAACCAACGTCACGTGGGAGTGGCTTATTCGAATTGTCAACCGCTGTCAACGCCACCACTGCTCTACAGCATATTGTCTTCAGCTAACAAAGAAAGATGCTGAACAAGCTCGAAAGGCCGGCGAGAGAGGCGGCCAGCCAGCTAGCCAGCCAGTTGAAGAACGTTTCTCTCCACAGCTGACATGCCGCTTTCAGTGTCCCTGGGCAGAACAGGCGAAGGCAAGGGTTATTAGGAAGCTGGGGAAGAAGTGGTGGCTGTTTGAGGCTCAGCGGAACGATACGTATATGAACCAGTACAACCCACTTATCTCGCTTTGCTGGCTTGCCAACACCAACTGCCCGCCTTGCACTGGTGTACAAGCTGTTGTCAACTATGCTGCAGAGTAGTGTAGCAAGTCAGAGACCCAGACTAATACATATGCGCAGATTGCGCTTAGTATAATGCCTTACGTTTCTGACAGGAACTCAAAGCTGTCGTTCGTATCCAAGCTGATGAATAAGCTAATAGGGGAGAGGGATTACTCAGCCCAGGAGATCAGCTATATCTTACTCGGCCTCTCTCTCTAAGACGATAGCCGAGTGGTACAAAGCGTTGATTGCCGGCCTCGAGAGCAGCATGCTCGGCCTCTCGATGTCACCGCCGACGGTGATGTTGAATGTAAGGAAACTAACCTTGTAGCCACCATGGCCACCGCCACCAAGGCCACCCTCGCCACCATCGCCACTATCGCCACCGTTACCAGGGCCACGCACTATCGCCACTACCACCCTGGCTACGCAAGGATGACTCGTAACCCCTTTCACGTGTATATAGACCATGGCCATTGCACACCTCTTTAGCTCAGGCCAGGTTGAAGTCTTACGCCAATACCAGTCATTGCTCGCCCTGCTTGTTGCTCTTATTGTAACCACCTTGATCAGGCGTACCTGCCTTCTCTTACATTGAAGATACGTTGAATGTCTACGATAAATACCTTGAACGGCCAGTTGAGATGGAGCATGTGGCATACGTCGAGTTTCTTAAGAACTGGAACTTCAAGGCACGGAATTCCGAATCCCTTAAGGTGGAGTATGTGGCAGTCTCCTACTCGATCTAGGGTGTTGTACTACTATCCCAAGTACAAGTCTATTCGCTCACACCAGCAATGGCCCGATTTCTGTCGTGTAAAGCTGCTACTAAACCATCCACATCGTCAAGTTGCAGACCTTGAAGTAGTTGTTGACAATCTACAGTTTGAAACCTACGAATTGGCCTACGAGCACTGTGCTAATCAACACCACCACCCAGATGATCACTATGGTGTTGAAAACAAAGAGGACCCCAAACCAGACGAGGATGAGTTTGAGGCTGGGGGTGACGTGGGTGATATCACCCTTGAGGATTGGCACGAGATGGCACGTATGGTTCCTGACTTGCGACTACCTGAAGAGGAGGCAGATTTGCTTGGCCGCCGTGATATTGACCTTAACTACGACTGGACTCAACAAATCAGCCTTTATTTCCACAAAGATTTCAATACCGGAGGCTACTAGAAAGAGCTCCGAGGAGATGCTCCTAGCAACTACGACGTTTAGCAGATGCCACGAAAGGCTTGCGATGCCCTAAACGCCAAACAACGGCTTGTGCATGATGCTATTCTTAAGCATTATAAGGCAACTATCCAATGCCAAAATCCAACACCACTTCGAATCCAGGTTGATGGTGGCGGTGGGACTGGCAAGTCATACATGGTTAAAGTAATCTCCTCTCGCTTACAAGCCAAAGCGGCCAAACATAGCCGACCCTCGCCAATTGTTCAAGCGGCGCCTACTGGTGTGGCCAGCAATCAGATTGGGGGCCAGACTCTCCACTCCCTCTTCTGGCTTCTTATTGACGGTAATTATTGGCTACTTTCAGAGACGCCAGCAGTCCTTAGCTCCCTACAGCGACGATTTAACTCAATTCACTATCTTGTGGTTGATGAGAAGAGTATGCTGGGGTTGAAACCTATTGCCTAGATCGATTAGCGGCTTTGAAAAATCTTCCTGACTGCCGCGACCAGTACTTTGGCAGGCTTGGCGTCATCCTTATCGGCGACTTTTTCCAACTCCCCTCGGTTCTAAACAAGCCCCTTTATTCTATGGCTGATGGCTTACGGGATCTAGAGATTGTCGGCCGAAACGCATACCTTTCGTTCAACAATTCGGTATTCTTAACCACAGTACAACGGCAGCAAGGCGAAGGGCAAGCGCTCTTCCAGCAAGCCTTAGAGAAACTACAGCGGGCCAAAGTATCCATCCCTTCATGGGAGCTTCTTTCGTCAAGGTATGCGATCAAACTCTCACCTACAGAGGTTGAGTCCTTTGACAACGCCCTTTGCATCTTTCCCATCAAGGTGCAGGTAGATGAATACAACCATCAACACCTTTTAAACTTACAGAAGGCAGTTATACAGGTCAACGCAAAACACGAAGGTGTTGGTGCAGAGAGGGTTGAGTCTTCCAACGTAGGTAATCTCGTCAAACGATTACCTATTTGTGTTAGCTGTCGGGTTATGTTGACAAGGAACCTGTGGGCCAACGTTGAGCTTGTGAATGGTGCCCAAGGCACTGTTTACAACGTCTCGTGGGCTGAAGGTGCAAACGTCCTAGAAGACCCACTGCAGGTAATCATGGTAACGTTTGACAACTATACTGAGCCTCCATTCCTACTGCCTAACGAAGAAGAGCTTCGTTATGGGGCTGAGTTAGGGGTTCCCATTCTCAGGGTCCGTCAAGAATTTACCCTTGGAGCTGGCACTGGGTACTGGGAGCAGTTCCCACTGCTCGTTTGTTACGCAATTACGGTGCACAAGTCACAAAGCATCACTCTCAACAAGGCAGTTTGTGATACCTCTGTGCTAGAGTTTGCATCTAGCTTATCTTATGTGGCGGTTTCGAGGGTTAAGACCTTGGATGGTTTGATGTTTGAGTCGCCATTTGATCGAAGCAGATTATACCAAGAGAAGCCAGTGCATAGCATGAAGCTAAAGACGCTTGACTACGACACAAGGATGCTCCAGCCCCTAGACCAGGTGCCTAATGAAGAGAGCTCTGAGACAAGTGGGTATATGTTACGATCCTGGTTCAGGCTCGCAGGGGGCTGCACGGAGCCTCTCGTTATTGGCTGACGCCAGGAAGTGAGGTAGTTCCCCGCTTCCCTCGAGTGCAGCCAATAACGAGGCGGTCAGTACAATCAGTATGGTCAGGGCGATCAGTGAGAGAACTGACCGCACTGAGCACACTGACCGCACTGATCACCTAGGACCAACGCTCTGATTGGTCCGCCTTGGATAGATATATACGACGACCGTAGCCACGGTCTTAGATAGTTCTTGCTTGGTTCTTCAAGCAAGCAATACACATTCACTGCACTCATACCCTTTGAGTGGCATTCCGATTTGACTGTATTACCCGTGCGATAGGAGCTTGCCCTTTGTTCTATCTTCATAATTACCAACCCCAGCATTCTGTGGAGCCCGTGCTCCCTTACAGACAGACGACCCTGACAGTCGAGTGGTTTGTAATAGTATATAACTGATAGCTCTATTGTTGTGTAGTTGTGGAAGGTCTAGATAGTCGTAGGGTTAGGTAGCATTGTATTATGTAATGGGATGTTTTGGCCTTCGGACAGATATTGTCGCTTCGCTTGCTCTCGCTTTCCACACTTTTTCAACTGCAACCCTAGAATGAAAATAGCCGTCGCTCACGTTAAAAATTGCCAGGAGCGAGAGTGAGGAAAGAGCGCCCTGTAGCGTAGCGGAGGGCCGCACAACTGACGAACGAAGCGACGCCAGTAATTTTAGAAGAAAAATGACGTATAACCGGGGCAGGGGGGACGCAATAACTCGAGTAATGATGCTATAGAAGCTCTTTTATCTTTCCGAACCAAGCTAGGGACAAGCAGAAGGCCCAACCAGCCATGGAAATAGGGTGAATTATTCCTTAACAAGCCTAAACCGCTTTCCCCAACGGTAATTTCATGTGTACACAGTCAGGATTGGCTGTTTATAGCCTTAGAAGAGGGGCTCCGTAGGGTTGTGACTCTGAGACATGCCTTTGTGATATAGGACCAATACAAGTCCGCAGCCCAAATCTACAAACAAGGATGAAAGAAAGAAGCATGAACGTAAACTCGCGGCTCCCAGAAGCACCGATCGTGTGTTGTGATAGCTACGAAAGAGAGGCCGATATTCTGCTATCACCCCGGTCTGGGTAGTCGCTTATCAGCTCTGTACGCTGTGAGTCGCTGTACTCGGAGTAGTCATCGGGCTCCATATGACTGTCAGACGTAAAGTCGATTTCGGCCTCAGGGGAAGACGCGGGACCGATAGGCTTAATGGCGTTGAGGGGGCCGAGCGCTGGGCTCATGGACAGGGATTTTTTGACCTTGACTGAGACGACAGAGGCGTTCTTCTTTGGATGGCCGACTTTCTTGCCACTACGAGGCTTGGGAGTGTCGGTCTGCTTGGGGGCAACCTTGGGTTCTTGGCGCCATAGGGGTTGGAGATTGTCCTGGTTCTCACGCACGCAGATCTTGCAGTATACGGCGGGGCGGATGACGACCTGAAAGGGGTTGTACATGGCCTTAAGATAGAGGTTTTCGTCGAAGCACTCCTGACAGTTTGCACAGCGGTCCGGGTGCTGCGTCTTGTGGGTGTGGTCGATGGTGGTAAACGCGGCCTTGGTGGCCGCGTCGCCCGGAAGCCACTCTGACAGGTTGCGGCCCATGGTCAGTCGGAAAATGTCGTTGCCGAACATGGGGCACCGTTCCGACAAGGAGAGGAACGCGTTGGAGCCATCCTCCTTCGTCTTGAGCAGCCGCTCCCGGCCAGCCCAGACAAAAGTGGACAGCAGCGACTGGAGGCGCGTAGGGCTCCGGACCTCGGTATATGCCTCCTCAATGACCTGGATGAGCTCCTCAATGTACTGATCGTGGCCGTCCGACTTCTCATCGATGATGCCGTTGCGGCCCGACATCTTGATGTCGTAAGAGCAAAGCTGGCGGAGCTTGTCGTCGCAGAAAACACCCAGAAGATTGAGCGCGTCGTCACACAGCGGCTCAAGCTCGAAGGCGTCTCCCAGGGCGAAGAGCTTGGCAAATCGGGTAAAGGACATTCTGGTCTCCTGGTTCCAGCTCTTATCGAGGACTTTATGCAAGCGTGTGAGATTAGCTCGGCACGTCACGAGATGGAAAGTCAAGTCATGTACAACTAGGGTGAGGGGTGAGATTACGACTAAGGTGAGGGGTGAGGCGGCGAGAGGAGAGGGGGCAAGGACTGAGATGAGAATTAGGGGGCAGAGACGAAGATGAGAGTGAGGGGGCAAAGACGGAGGTGAGAGTTTAGATGAGAGCGTGTCCGGTTTTCTTACCGCCCGAATAGATAAAGTAGAGGAGCGTGTTGATGTCCTCCTCTTTGTGGTTGTGGAGGTTCACGACGTTGGTCTGTCCCTCCTGTTTTCAAGGTGGGTTAGCTCACAATGCCCATATAATGCCTGTAGCGGTCGAGGATATTCCATCAGACAGGCTCTACATACCTGATATTGGTCTGCGAAGGCCTTCGAAAACCACTTGCAGCGCGTGCACAGGATGATCTTGTGCACCATCCATTTGGATTCAATGCACAGGATTTCGGCGTCGGCGAAGTTGCCCGACTCGAGCAGGCTGTTGGACGTGGGAGAGCGCAAATATTAGCTCAGAACAAACCAAGGACCAGGCGGTTATGCCGTCAAGATGGGCGTGGTTAACCTACAGGAGGTTATCTCTGCTAAATCGGCCCTCTGGTGGTGAGGGCTCCATAGCCGCTACAAGTGCGCCTGTGGAAGGTGTTGCTAAGGAAAGGGTGAGCCTGAATTTTGGATGCGTGCTAAAATAGAAGCAGTAGAAATTAGTCGCAGGGTCCGTAGATATATCCCTAGCGCTCAGACAGCGTGATGGAGGGATAAGGTAGTAAAGGAAAGGTATCTAGTAACGAGAAAGGCAAAGCGGATAGGTTCAGAGGCGTGTGGTGTTTGGTTCAGGGCCTGAAATATTACTCGATTTGTGAGGCCATTTTAATCATGTACGGTATAAAAAAGCAGGCACGCAGGTGTGCGCGGAGGGCGTTGTTGGTTTTGAAGCCAAACAAGAGCTAGGGATGATTAAAGAGTGCATACCTTTGATGCGGCGTCGATGCGGCGTCGAATGCCTTTTCGGGCGCTACGTGAGGTTCACGTAGAAAAAGTTAGTAAAGGTGAAGGCGGATAGACGAGCTGTTAATTGTAGGGTGTTACGGCGTGGCCGAACTATGGTCCGTGGTGCCGTGACCATGCGCTAAGTTGATTGTAACTCCCTTCCCGATTGGGACTAGCGTACACGTGACTACATGACCCCACCCTACCGTCACCAAAAACCGTAGCCTGCAGGCCTGCAGGCTACTTCGTTTTCCTTTTCTTTTCTGAGCTTAGTTACTTTACAAATCCAGCCCTTATTTACTCGCAGCTTTGCTTCTTGTATTTGACTGCCTTCACATAGGGTGCTAGAATATTAGAAACGGACCTTTTGTAGAAGGGATGAGGAAGCTTTCTGAGAGCAGTTTTCACGCAGGTTTAAATGTGCTCTTTGGCGGCTGAAGTTGTCGGAAGGAGGCGCATCTGAGCCACAAGTGGGCGCAGGTGGCGCATATGCTACACCGTTTACAGCCTAGACTATGTTAGCCGAATGCCGCATAACTATAGTATTCAGGTTATGCCTACCTTTCTGAACCTTCTAAATATAAGCAACTTTTTGGCCCTCAATTGATGCAACGTTGTATGTGACAATTAACAGTCTGAATACGCGCAACGCAGCCGAATTGCGCCCTCAATCGCTACAACGCTCGAAGCCACAAGAGTGAGGCTATGCACATACACCAACCACTAAAAAACAATACCAACCACGGAAAAATAATACCAACCACTTAAAAACAACAGTTCAATCTGACCAAGGCATTCGCGGCCGTCAAAACACATCTTCAAAAGCCCTTCAACGTATTAAGCCTATCTGTCTAACTTCAAACGATACTGGCGTCATATTTGCGTAGCGATTTGATCGTGCAGGACCAACATGGCGTTATTCTCACAAGCCGGGAGTCAAGATTACCATCATTATCATCACCACCACAATCAGCAGCAGTCAGCAATATCAACCTCGACTAGTCCCTTCGCAACTTCCACCAATCCCTCGCAAGCCAGGAGTAAAGATTACCACCATTATCATTACCACCATAATTAGCAATAGTCAGCAATATCAACCTCGACTAGTCCCTTCCCGAATTCCACTAGCCCCTCGCAAGCCAAGAGTCAAGATTACCACCATCAGCAGCAGCACCACCACAATCAGCAGATCATCACCACAACCACAACCAGCAGCAGCATAATTATTAGCAGTGTCACGACCAGGGCAAGGCATTGAGGTCAACTCAGTCCATTGGGTGCTATCGACGAAGATTCTAAACTGAGGAGGGAAAGAAGGAAAAGTCCGACAACGCGTCGCGTGCTCGCGAATAAGTTTGCATCTATCAGTGGGGTAGGTGGGGCCTCGAGGAGGCTTCTGATAGGCCCGTGGGTTCTGGGCGGCTCTGGCTGCTTCAGGGCCAGTTTGGTGGACGGGTCCTCACAAGCAGGTTGGTTATCACCACCACCACCATCAGCCCAAGCAGTGTAATCGCGCTCATCATAATCACTATGATCCCCCCCCTTTGCCCATAAAAACTAACTCGAGCTCTAGACAACTTCTTCTGTCTGACTCAGAGCTTGACTCGAAGCTTGAGCATTATCATCACCACAACCACAAGCAGCAGATCATCACCACCACCACAATCAGCAGATCATCACCACTACCACAATCAGCAGCAGCCTGATTATCACCATCACTATCATTAGCCCGAGCAGCAGCATCCTCGTAATAATAACTATAACCCTCCCCTCCTCGCTCTAGACAACTTCCTCGTCCGGCTCAAGCTTCAGACAACTTTCCAGTTGCCAGCCTCACCATGATATTCTGGCCAGCCTCGCCACTATCACCCAGTCCCTTTCACGGTCACAATATTAACCTCCACCAGTCTCTTTGCAAGCTACGAGTCAATATCACCACTGGCGCCGACAGGTACGTTTCTTCTAACAATATTCCACTCTAACGTCTTGTTATAGACTCACCTTCCTAGCCAAAGCTTCGCTATAACGTCGATATTGTCACCTACCGTACGCCTGGTAGTCTATAACCGACACTGTTGAGAGGTATATTCCTTCTAATAACATTCCACTCTAACATCTTGTTACAAGCTTGCCTTCCAGCCAAAGGATCGCTACAACGTTCCGGTTGTCGCATCGCAAACGTTCAGGTTGCCGCCTCGCTAACTTTCTGGTTGCCACAACGTTCCGGTTGCCACAGCGTTCTGGTTGCTTGTCTCGCCACAACGTTCTGGCCAGCCTCGCTACCATTTACACAGTCCCTTTCACGATTATAATATCAACTCCTACCGTCTCTTCGCAAGCCTGGAGTCAAGATTACCACCATCAGCAGCAGCATATCATCACCACCAACACCACCACCACCATCACCACCACCACCACAATCATCACCACCACAATCACCACCACCACAATCAGCAGCAGCCTGATTGTTACCACTACCACCACCACCACCACAATTAGCAGATCATCACCATCACCATCACCACCACCACCACAATCATCACCACCACAATCAGCAGCAGCCTAATTATCACCACCACCACCTCTACCACCACTACAAGCAGCAGCAGCACCACCACAATCAGCATATTATTACCATCACAATCAACAATAGATACCGCTTATTATAATCACTGTTGCGGGGCCCAGCCCAGCCCATGCCCTAAGGCTAGTATGAGCATGGGCCAAGTGCCCCGCAGGAGGTTTCGCCCACATATTTAGTATGGGGATTTTCCCCTCCTAGAGTTAGTTAGCCAATGCACCTTTTCCATCATTGTCATCATTGTCTCCCACACAAGATAGCCGATGTTGTCGAGGGGGCGCAGACCATCGTCGCCAAGATGCTCAATTAAGTTAATGAGCATAGACCGGGAGGTTTGCCAAGCGTTCTACCACGGTTCTGTTGATCATCACAGTGTTCTGACACTAACAGTGGCAGCAAAAAAACACCAGCCCACCGTGTTAGCAAAGAACGCCAACCCACAGTGTTCTGACACTAACCGTGTCAGCAAAAAACACCAACCCAAACCCACCACCAGTACCAAAGAGGCCACCCACGCCCACAGTGTCAGGAAGATCAGGAACATGGCTAACTTATACCAGTGTCAAGAAGGCCAACCCAGGAAGAATGCCAGCAGTGTCAGCAAAAACGCCAACCCACCGTGTCAGCAAAAAACACCAACCCACACCCACAGTAAGGACCAGTGTCAAGAAGGCCAACCTAGGCTTAGGAAAGCCGGGGTTTACGAGGAGGGCATACTGCGGCATAGGCAAGGCATAGGCAACCAAGGGCGTGACAGCACAGGCCGGAAAACAACAGCACCAACCGACAGGGCGAAAAGACAAGGCCCTCGAGGGCCGCTGCAAGGCCTGTGGCTTCACCGAGTGGCTACATGCACGTCTTCCCAGAGGCCAGCAACTTCAGGGTAGCCCCCTCGCTCAAGGCCTTGTTGATGCGCTAAAGAACGGGGCCAACGGTAGAAGAAAATGTCCAACAACAATCGGGAGTCAAGCTGGCTAGCCGCCTCGAAAAGGTCACCAACGCGTCGTTCTTATCACGGCAGGCCTGCAGAGGCGCCTTTTCAACAGGAACATTCCCTCTCCACTCGGCAATTCTCGACTCGGCACTACAGTCCACATCTTCAACAACCTACCCGCTATGGCAAACCCCCTGTAGACATTGCGGAGCAGTTCGCTGAGAGCAGTTCGCTGAGAGCAGTTCGCTGAGAGCAGTTCGCTGAGAGTAGTTCGCTGAGAAGAGCAGTTCGCTACTCTTCTTAATTAGGACTAGCCTAATTGGCCCTCCCCACAAAGCCACATCCTGTAGGAACTGCAGGCTTCTTCTTTTCCTTTTCCTTTCTTCAGCTATTTACGAATTCAGCCATTTCTTACTTGCAGCCTCGGCTCTCGTTTATGCCTGCCTTCACAACAAGCCGTAACAATCGCTCCCGCCTAGCCAACAGCCCAATGCGAGCACGACGCCAGACAAGTCTAACAACGCGCGCGCCCAGCCACGAGTCTAACAGCTCGCCTGAGCAACACAACAGCCCAGCAACAACCGCGCGCGCCCAGCCACACGCCCAGACAAGTCCAACAACCACGCGCGCCCAGCCAACACCCCACACAGCAGCCCAGCACCCAGCAGCCGCCGCAGCACCACGCCAAAAGCCGCAACAACCGCTCCCGCCCCGCCAAGTCCAGCAGCCAGCAGCCGCTCGCTCGTCACCGAGGGGCCCAGCCAAACCGCTTCATCTTCCAGTCCGAGGTCGGCGGCAGCGACGAGCGACGGTCAGCGAAGAAAAGCGAGTGGGATTGGCAGAGGGCGAGAGTGGAAGGGCGGGTGGGATTGGGACAAAGGAGAGGTGCTTAGCTTGGGACAAAGGAGAGCTGCTGAGCTTCGGAAAAATGAGAGCTGCTGAGCTACGTCTTGCCTGTCGGGCTGAGCAACGAGCAAAACACGGCCTGCGTTTCTGAACAATTCGTTCCTGAACAATTGCCAAGGTGCAAAACACGGCCTTGTGCACGACACGGCTTGGTTTCTGACAACTGCCAACTGTTGGATTCAGCACTTCAACTTTCTTGATTGAT